CAGCTTTATCTTTGGTTACGGTTCCTCCTACCACCTCTAATCCTTTTGATTTGCTGCAAGTGGAGGAAAGTACTATGGTTGTTGATGATGACTCTTCTTCTCTTGCCAATTCTGGTCAGCCTCTCTCGTCATCAACATCCCCAAAAACGACAAAGCTTAAAAGAAAGTGGGATGCTCAACAGTCTCGTCTTCAAGGCGGAGTTCTCTCCCTTATAGGAGAGAAGCGTCACTCCCACTAACCTGTTTATATGTCAAATACCTTTTTTTGGAATGTAAGAGGTCTTAATGAATTCTCAAAGCATCGACCTCTCTATAAATGGCTTAGATTACGCTCAGTCATGTTTGGAGCGCTTTTGGAAACGCATGTTAGAGAAACAAACATCTCTCAGATTCTGTCAACCATTGGTCCTGACTGGTCCCTTTTGTCTAACTACATGTTTTCAGATTTGGGAAAAATTTGGATCATTTATAAAGCTCCCACTAGAGCTCGAGTTCTTTTTACAGATCTTCAGTCAATCACGTGTGAGATCACTCTTGAGGATGGCACAGATTTTGTTTACACTGCAGTCTACGCATCAAACGAAGAAGAGGATAGAAAGATGTTATGGATTTCGCTTCGGAATTTAGCGGGTTCTTTCGGTTTATCACGCAGGCCTTGGCTGATCAATGGAGATTTTAATGAGATTCTTCATCCGGCTGAAACTTCAAATCCTGATATTTTTCGATCCACAAGAGGTATGAGATTGTTTGGTGAGTGCTTAGCAGATTTGGGAGTCTTTGATCTTCCTTTTAGTGGTCCTCGATTCACTTGGACTAATAAAAGGTCTATTGACCCCATTGGAAAGAAATTGGATCGATGTTTGGTGAATGGCAGCTGGTTATTACGGTTTCCTTTCAGCCACTGCACTTTTGAAGCCCCAGAATTTTCTGATCATACGCCTTGCCACATAAAGCTTGTTTCAGACCATCCATCTTATGGGTCCAGGCCTTTTAAATATTTTAACTTTCTTGCTAAGCATCCTCAGTTTCTTGACTCAGTAGAGGAAGCTTGGGAGAGTGTTGGGAGTCCCGTTACAGCTCTTAAGGATTTCTGTTACAGGTTAAAAAAGATGAAGAAACCCTTAAAGTTGTTGATGAAGAGTAATTTTAGTGATATTGAAAAGAGGGTCTTGGAGGCACATTCTACTCTAAAATCTCTTCAACTGATTTCCTTCAATGATCCTTCTCCGCTAAACATTCAGAATGAGAGTTCAGCAAAAAACATTTGGTCGCATCTTTGTCTTGCTGAAGAAAGTTTTTTCAGGCAAAAATCTCGCATTAGATGGATGGGTGAAGGAGATTTTAATACTTCTTTCTTCCATTGTGTCACAACTGCAAGGAATGCTGGAAATGCCATAAGACATTTGCTGAAACCAGACGGGTCTTACACGTCTTCCCTCCAAGAAGTACATGAACTAGCTGTAGACCATTTCTCTGGACTTTTCACCACAATAAGAGGTCAGTTTTGTCCAGCATTACCAGGTTTCCTGAACTTCTTAATCCATGTTACATGTTCAGCTGAGCAACAAGCAACATTATCTTCTTCATTTTCTGGTGAGGATATCAGATCATGTCTTTACCGAATGCCTCTAAATAAAACTCCAGGGCCGGATGGTTTTTCTGCTGAGTTTTTCAAATCTACTTGGAATATTATCGGTCAGGATTTAATAACGGGGGTTCTCAAGTTTTTCCAAGACAGTTTCATTCCTACAGCCTTAAATTCTACTTCACTTGTCCTGATTCCAAAAATTCCAGGTGCTGAGGAACTGAAAGAGTTCAGACCTATATCTTGTCTCAACACTGTCTACAAGATCATATCTCGGTTGCTCATGAACAGGTTAAAAACTGTACTCCCTGATCTTATTCTTCCAAATCAAACTGCCTTTGTCAAAGATAGGTTGTTGTTGGAGAACGTGTTACTTGCTTCAGAGGTTATGCAGGGCTATCATATTAACTCGAGGAAGGCTAGAATAACACTAAAAGTGGACATCGCAAAGGCTTTCGACTCGGTTAGATGGGATTTTCTTCTTATCACTCTTCAAGCTTACCAGATTCCTACGTCTTTTCTAAACTGGATCAGGGCTTGTGTATGCTCTCCTTCTTTCAGTGTGAGCATAAATGGTGTCACATCTGGTTTTTTCAAGGGAAAGACAGGTTTACGCCAAGGTGACCCTTTATCCCCAATTTTGTTTGTCTTGATCATGAATGTGTTATCTCTTATGTTGAATAAGGCAGCAGAGTCGGGTTCTTTTGGATATCATCCTGGTTGTGAGGAGTTGAAGCTTACTCATTTATGTTTTGCTGATGATTTGTTGATCTTTTTGGATGGCACTGAGCAATCGTTGAGGGGAGTATTGTCTGTTTTGGATGATTTTGAAAAGATGTCAGGGCTTAGTATGAATATTGAGAAAACTTCCATGTTCTGTTCAGGATTGAGTGAAACAGGCTTGCAACACTTACACAATGTTTTCAATCTCAAGTATGTTTCACTCCCAATCCGATACTTGGGCTTGCCCTTATGCTCTAGGAAACTATCTGTTAAGGACTATGACCCACTTATATCTCAAATAAGGAGGAAACTTAATTCCTGGACTCACAGGTTCCTGAGCTTTGCTGGAAGGTTGACTCTCTTATCTTCTGTTATCTCGGGCATCATAGGATTTTGGACAAGTGTTTTTTTTCTGCCAAAGAAGATTTGTCGAAAAATAACTAGTCTTTGTAGTTCCTTTATTTGGCATGGAAAGGTTGATATTCCCTCGGGGGCAAAGGTAGCCTGGCATGATATTTGTTTTCCTAAAGAGGAAGGTGGTCTAGGTTTAAGGCACATTGGTTCTTGGAATGAGACTTGTGCTTTAAAACTTATTTGGATGCTGTTCTTTCGAGCTGGTTCACTTTGGGTGGCTTGGATACGACAAAAGTACCTTTCAACCTCCTCGTTTTGGGCACTAAATGGGAAAAACTATGCATATTCTTGGATTTTTAGGAGGTTACTCAAGTTGCGACCGAAAGCTCTCAAATTTCTCAGCATCAAAATTGGAAATGGTGATTCCACTTTCTTCTGGTGGGATCCATGGACCCCTTATGGATCTCTTTATCACTTTCTTGGTGTAGATGGACCCTCACGCTTAGGGATCCCTCTATTAGCCACTGTGGCTGAAGTTTGGAATGTAGATGGCTGGTCTCTACCAAATCCCAGATCAGAACGACAAGTCCTTTTATCCGTTTTCATCTCTACTGTCACTTTCTCCTCTTCCAGTGATAAGGCGGTGTGGAAGGTAAATGGACTACCATGCAGATCTTTTTCTTCCAAAGCTGTGTGGAATTCAATCAGGGTTTCAAGAGAAAAACGTTCATGGGCTCCTCTTGTATGGCCTAAATTGGTCATACCTAAACATGCCACTACTACATGGCTATTTATTTTAAACCGCAATCCTACACTGGATCGTATGGCTTCTTGGGGTTACGATATTGAAAAAGATTGCCTTCTTTGTGGTGTAGCTCAAGAAACTCGGAATCATCTGTTTTTTGAGTGTTCTTTCTCGGGTCAGGTATGGAATTTAATAACACAAAGGCTGGGAATTTCATCTCCTCCTACTATTTGGGATCAGGTTTTACTATGGCTTCCAACTGCCTTGACAACTAAGCATAGCAAGTTGGCGGTCTTACATGGATGGCAAGGTGCAATTTATGAATTGTGGCGTGAAAGAAATCGACGTTATCATGATGGTCTCACTCTATCCCCGAATACGGTTGCAAAGCTTGTCATTTCCACCATGGAAAACAAGTGTCATGCGATGCACCAGCTTGGATCCAAGAGTGCTTTACATGTTCTTCAATGCTGGATGCGTACAAGCTAATGTGGGTAATCGAAGCTGAATTGGTTATCTCACATTATTAGGGTATTGGCTTTGATACCTTCTTTGTTAAGTACCTTTTGTTGGTCTTCTTCTCAACTCTAATTCTGGTTTGGCTCTTGTTTGTTTCTTTGTAAACTTTTTATTTTCAGTTATATAAGTAAAGCCCTTTAACAAAAAAAAACCACTATAAATTTCACATAATAACTCGAGATATTATAAATCTAGACTTCATTTAAACAAGAAATTGATAAAGAAAGCAACAACATGATACTCATAATGATGACAATCATGGAGCTTAGGAAAATAACACATCTCTACTTTGTTTCACCCTATTTATGTTTTTGCCAATTTTACCCCTTTGCCGTTGCCGCCAAAATCAGAAGTGCTCTGGGGCCAATAATACTATATGGTCAAATGGACTCAACGTACCTTTCTCCCTTTTTCTTTTCGATAGCGATGTCGCCAATATAAAAGTGTTCATCAAGGGGTAGTTATGTCAATTACACAAGATCTCTTTCTCAATCTCCAAGAAGAAGAAAAATTAAGATTATTATGATCCCAATGCTATTTGAAGGGTAACATTATACTATAGTTTGGTTTTAGAGTTTAGTGAAGTTACTAAACACTTCATTGTTCAATGTTTCTATTCCCAAACTCCAACACACTGTATCATCTTAAATAGAGGTTATTTCGATTTGGTCCCCTTCAAGAATCTTATTTCATTTCCAATATTGATTATTTTCGTTTGTTCAATGTGTCATATTTTTTGTTGAAAGAAAATGTATAGCTGATTAGTCATAATCGTAGCAAACTTCCTTGATTTTGTTATGTGCTTAATCAGTCGTTAATCGTCTATTTTTCGGCTTAATCATATTTTTTTTGGGATTAATTTAGTCATTAGTCCAATCAGACAACGCGTTCTTGAAAACTAAACCTTATTAATATAATCACGAATAGATCAGATACGTTGGATTCAATGTACTTAGTGAACCATATAACCTTTGACTGTTGAAATTTATAGTAATTTACTTTATCATTCCTCCCAAATTACTTTATCAAAGTTATGGGGTCAAATGTTTAAATTGGAAAGTTATGGAGTGAAACTTAAATTACATAAATGCTCCTCCAAGGAGAAGAAGAGTATAGAATTTAACCAGAGGTTCTATCACCACCAAAACCTGATTGTAAGAAACCGTTTTGGTCCAGATGACTCACATCGCCCCAAACTTGGATTGTCCATTTGTCTCCGTCGAATAAACGGAACACATTGACCGATGTATTGAGTATCTTTTCAACTTTTCTTGCACTTGGACGAGCTCTTTCATGTAGAGATCGAATCACACCTCCATGAGTCACTACTACTACTCTTTCACCTTCATCACCAAGTAAGTAAGTAAATAAACCAATACTTAGAACATATTTGTTATGTAGTAAACTGTGAGAAACAAACACACAAGAAAAGGAAGATACCTTTATGTTTGTCGCCGATTCTTTGTAATGCAGTTGTACATCTATCGTAAAGTTTGTCAAGACTTTCTCCTCCACCCTTCATTCATATAAAATGAAGCAAAACTTGTTGAATCAACAAACCAAACATCCATCATTCATATATAACTAAGATTTTGTTAATAATATCTTACTGGAATATCAACGTCTGTGCGGTTAGATGAAAAGGCCTTGTAAGCTTCCGGGCGAATTTTCGAAGCTTCTTGATACACAAGCCCTTGCATATCTCCTAAATGTCTCTCCCGTAAATCACGATCAGTAAGTACCTATACAACCATTATTCACAGTTCAACTTCTATAGTATCAAGAAAGCCATATGGTACAGCTTCACAATGGTAGATATAAAAAGGTTGTTTCAGAACTTAGAAACCAACACAAAAATAGCAGAAAGGTGGAGACTTTAAAAGCAGAACCTTAAATGTCTATGAAGTTTGTTTATACCTCAAGCTTGCCACATTTAGCAGCAATGATCTGAGCAGTCTCAAAGGCTCTCTTCAAGTCAGAAGAGTATACATGAGATATCTTCGGCTCCTTCGATAACCGCTCCGCAACCTTCATGTTTCAAATGAAAGAAAGTCATCATCATCATCATCATCATCAAGATTCAAGGTTACAAGACAATCAAAAGACAAATTTTAAAAGTGGAGACACATGACACATACTCTCACTGCTTGTTGTCTTCCTGCATCATTTAACTCAACATCCAAATGACCCTGTAACATAATAAACCAATTATAACCACATTTCAGCATCTCTAATCAAGATTCCCAAAACCTATACATTCACAACGATACTAATCATTACTACATACATGATAAAGATTCGAAATTTAGGATTTTTAAGTCAAGTTTCGATCCCGAAGATAGATTACAAAAATTTACCTGGATTTTTCTCTCTGCATTCCAAGATGTCTCTCCATGACGAACAACAACAATCTCAGCATAATCAAGATCTTCTTCACAACTGTAGTAAAACCAACATAAAGTTTCCATCAACAACAACAACAAAACAAAAAACACGATCAGAGAGAAGCTAGAAGAAACATACTCGAATCTTGATTCCTCCATGGGAGATGCTGAGAAATGAAATCGGATCCAACGACGATAAGAGAACCATTCCAATTTCCAGTAATATGATAATAACACTAAGTGGGCTTTTTACTTGATTTTGTTAATGGGCCTTTGCCTCTGCGAAACGAAGCAAATTTTTGATAAAACTTCTAGAATGAAACTGAGCTATTATATATGTGTATATATTTTTATTTATGGATAATCATGAATTCAGTTTTATCTAGACTTACATATCCATTTTCTTTCAAAAATATTATCTAAAGTTAATATTTTTTGTACTATATAAATAAGATTGCGTGGTAGGAAATTTGACCTAAATCTGTGTTGATCGATTTTAGGTTCTTTCCCAAAACGCAATTACAACTAGGGATCGGAAGAGATTTTGAAGAAGTATAGATTAGGTAAAACTGTCTCTATTGATCTTCCTTTTTAGTTCACTTAGATTCATCTTCTTATACATTAAGATTTGTGTTTTGACCTTCCCTAACATATCTGAGTGATAACGCATGCAATTTACTATTTTCAGAAATCCTAATCTCCTTGTATACTGTTAATTAGTATACATGATGAAAAACTTCGTACAAAAAAGGTATAATTTCATCTTCTCTCTTTCTTTCACAGATTATGATGTTATATCAAATGGACAAAATATCGACACCATGCGCGGCATGCAAGTACCTGAGGAGAAAATGCACAAAAGATTGTGTGTTTGCGCCTTACTTCCCCACGACCAAACAAGAAAACTACGAAGCGGTCCACAAGGTATTCGGTGCAAGCCATGTGGCTACACTTATCAACGATCTTCACCCATTGAAGAGAGAATTTGCCATGAACAGCCTCGCTTGGGAGGCACGAGTTCGTGTCAAAGATCCGGTCTATGGCTGCACGGCTATCATCCGCCGACTCCAAAGTCAGCTTAAAGACTCGGAAGAACAACTCGCGATCGCCAAGAACGAGCTCGCCTCTTACGGTACCGTCCCGACATTTGTGCCACCGCCTCCGATGATGTATCAGCAAATGCATAACAATCCTATGACGATATCGGAATATACACCTAATAATGGTGGGTTTTTAACGGGTCAACAGTTACATGACGAGGCTCAACGTTTTGTATCCACACAAAGCGCTCAAGTGCAGCAAACGCAAGAGACGCAGACGCAGCACAATGAGATTGACCGTGACTAAAAAGGTCGTATCAAAGATTTGAACCATGCTTACATTTAATCATATAGTCTTGATAACAATGGTAACCTTTTAAAACTTTTCTGAAGTCTAGTCTAGTCGTTTGTACATAACTACAAGTGCCCAATGCCTTTTATAATTTGTTATAAACTCTTTTACTACCACTTTTTTTTCGTTTACAATTAAAATTTCTCTTTTGTGTTTTTCTAATTTCTCAGTATAATGATATAAACTATTCTGGTATAATTATAATTATCGTTATGAACTAACAAAACATCCGTTATCGTCCAGCGGTTAGGATATCTGGCTTTCACCCAGGAGACCCGGGTTCGATTCCCGGTAACGGAGCTTTTTTGTTTTTAAGATTCGAAAATGGACATCATGATTGAATCATATTTGACTTTTTAGTTTTTATCACTAGTCAGCGAATGTTTTCCCTCGTATGTGCAACATCTGACTTTGAAGCTATTTTTTTCTTCCCAATTTTATTAATTAGTTTTAAAACAAATAAATAGTGGACCTTAGCATTTCTAATCCGGATCTTTAGACAATTTTATTTTACAAACATGTATATAAGTGAAGTGTATATTATCTTTTACAAACTGCCTGAGACTCAAATATGATTCAATCATGATCTTTAGTCAATTCAATTACTTATATTAATGAATTTATTTTTTTTCTAAAAAATTATTTGATAATGATCTCTTCCTATAGTTTTGCCTAAACATAAGGAAAATATCACTCATAATTCGGGGACGTTCATTAAAAAAGCTACGCAAATATATATAAGTAAGAGGAATAGAACAGGCTTATAAGAAAATTGTTCACTAATATTCATCTTCTTCGTGTCTATACTTTCGCTACCAAAAGTGTATACATATAGACGTCGTCTCCTGGTTAGTTAATTTCTTTCTACCACACCAAATATTTTAATTGGTTTTTAGTTTAATTAGATTAGGGTTTTTAGAATTCTAGGGTTTCAAGGTTAAGAAGTTTCTTAAAAATAGGGTTTTTCTCTTTGTATCCTTAATACAGAAACTGTCACATATGTATAGATTTAAAATCTAAGGAAGGATCACATACTCTTGCTAGATCAAGTTTTTTTTTAATCTGTTTTTTTTTTTTTTTTTTTTTTTTTTTTTTTTTTTTTTTGTGGTTACACGAAGTTTCATTGATTTGAAAAAGTTGTATGAATAGAAAAACAAATTCTTGACAACATTTTGAAAAATCATTTGTATGTTAGCAGATGGAACCTTGTAAATGTCAGGACTTGAGGCAACAATGCACAGAAGAGTGTGTGTTGGCACCTTACTTGCAACCTAACAAACCGGAGAAGTACGCTTCCTTGTCTACGGTGTTTGACATTAGCCGTGTGGCTAGATATCTCATGGATATTGAACCTAGCCAGAGGCAAGCATGCGTTGACTCGTTCTGTTTCGAGGCAGAAGCCCGTTTGTGCGACCCAATTAGGGGCAGCACTGGTTTGATTCACCTCCTCAAGCGTCAAGTTCAAGACCTTGAGCTTCATTTGAAAATGGCCAAGAGGGACTTACAAGAGATCCTCCAACGAAATCGTATGGCACGGCCACAAGACCATCAAAATTCATTTGTAAGATCACCTCTTTGAGGCATCTAACTAGTACTTTGGTTATTATTTGGATTTGGATTTCAATTGCTGAAGTTGTGTTATCTTGTTTCGATTTTAGTTGTTTTTAATACTTAAATCTCGAGATCAGAGTTTTTATGGATTAGATAAGCAAATGTCAATTATTTATTTTTTCTTTTAGTTTTTGGTAAAGCCTTAATTGTATAATAATAGGGGTTTTCATGATAAAACATAGGCTTATTAACGGACAAAGATACATGAATGATAAAGAACCATAAATTACATTGGACTCCAAAGGATTCGGAGATTCATACATGATACATAGGTCTGTCTTGGTGTTGGTGTCATCATGCTTTAAAACGTATTTTATGGCATTGGATGGATTTTTTTTTCAAGGTTGGTTTTATGACTGAAAATTTCAAATCATCACAGAGGAATAATGTTGGGGTTTTGCAGGATTTATTTATTAATGTTGGTCCTATATACATTATATAGTGAATTCATGTTTCCCGCAGAGAAAGTAGTAATACACCGTAGTACAAAAGTTTTTTGTTTGTTTGTTAGAGTGGTAAAGTAAACGAAAAATTTAACTATCAGTTTTTTTAGTTAAATCGTATAAAAATAATTCTTTAATCTGGGTTTAATACTGATTTTAATCATTGCTGCTTTTGTTGATATAAAGATAAGATTTTAGATAAACTTGTGTTTGGAAACTAGAAAACAGAGAAAGTGTGTGTGTTTTTTGGCTTTATGTTCTTACTTTGGTACTTTAAAATGACAATATTTGTTTAAAACAACATTTATTCTGAATAGACAAGTCTTATAAGGATAGAATCATGTTCATTATATGACTAATCAAAATAATCTCCTAGCATTGATTATCTTCTCTAGTTAGAACTGACTTAACTTTTCATTTGTAGCTATGGCGACCAAGCCAAAAAGATGCATCGTTTATGCGCAAGGAAAGAAAAAGTGTTTAGAAAACTGTGTATTCTTACCTTTCTTCACTAACGAGACTAAGTGGAAGCTTGAACTTCTTAAGAATGCGGGTCAAGGACCTTCGTTTCTGAAAACACTTCTTGAGGGAATAAATTATAAATCTAGAGAAGCCAAACTGAACTGACAAGTTTGTAGGGTACATGCAAATTTGCAGAAGTTTCTAGCTCACACAACAGAAGATGTTGCTGAACTTGCCTTATAGTAGTTTAATAACAAAAATTATTTATGAAAAAATCATATTTATTTGGAGCAGTTTTTGGCCAAATTGCCACTAATCTTTTCAAATAATTTGTGGCAATTTACCAGGTGTATTCCATGACTAGTCGTACAAAATTGCCACAAATATTCAGTGGCATTATGTGGTAATTTGTCAGAAATATATGTTGTGGCAATCTGAGGTAAATTTGCCAAAAATATACTTTATGAAAATTTGTGGCAAAGTTACAACGAATTGCAAAACCAAATCAAGATTGAAAGTGTAAAATTGGTTAAACCTGCTAGCTATGCAGAAGCTCTGAGAAGACCTCCTCCTAAGAAAACTGAACAAGAACTGAGATCGTCGCGCTATAAAATTCTAACTTGGAATCAGTACAGGAGCAACACAAAGGCTCAAGAGGGAGTGTTGACAAGATTGGTGATGAAGACGGATGAAGATGTTTGCTTTGCTTTACTGTTTTGTTAGTTTTGGCTTGTGTCTTTTGTGTCTTTGGGCTGGTTGCAAAGTCCATTAAATTTTATTTTTTTTTTGAACTTTAAGACAAAAAAAAGTTAGGTGTTCCAAGTATTAGAGTAAATAAAAAAAAAACTTTAGATACGCTAAATTAGTGAAAGAATTTATTTATCTTTTAAACCCAAACGAAAAAAACAATTAGGAGGAATTTGAAAGAAAGATTTTCCTTTAAACGACAAAGATGGAGCTAACAGAAACAAAATCACCAAAACGCGGCGGCTTTTGTCGTATCAAATCAGATAAATAAAACAAACAAAACGGTGCCGTTTCAAACCTCTCTCTCCTCTTATCTAACTTAGAGAGCGACCAATAATTGCCTTTGTCTTCCTCATTCGTTGATCCATCTTTTTCCCCAAATTTATCCCTTCTTAGATATTTTTCCACGCGAAGCTTCTTCTTCGGGATTTGTACTAATCTGATGTGATTGAGAAGAGTTAAGGAATAGAAGAATCAGAAAATGGATCCGGCGGCGACTAATTCACCGATTATGCCGATTGATTTACCGATTATGCACGACAGTGATCGTTACGACTTCGTTAAAGATATTGGTTCTGGTAATTTCGGTGTTGCTCGTCTCATGACCGATAGAGTTACGAAGGAGCTTGTTGCTGTTAAGTACATCGAGAGAGGAGAAAAGGTTCGGTTTTTAATTTATTTTTAATGAAAAAAATTTTGATATTTATAGGCTTTAGTGATTGATGATTGATCCCAAAGATTTCGTTTTTTTTGTTTTTGGTTTCCAGATTTAGTAGCTTTCCTTTTTAGAGTTTGTTGATCTAGCTTTTAATGGTGTTGTTACTGTTACCATGATTAATGCTTTGAAAAGTTTTGACATTTCTCAATAAATGATCACTTTTTTTTGTGTGTTGCAGATTGATGAAAATGTTCAGAGGGAGATTATTAATCATAGATCATTGAGACATCCTAATATTGTCAGGTTTAAAGAGGTATAGTATAATACACCTTGATGTTGCTTATGTGTGTTTTGTGTTATAAGTCAGTGTGGTTTAAGAGTTTGTTGTGTGTTTTGATGATAATGTTGTAGGTGATTTTGACGCCTACCCATTTGGCTATTGTTATGGAATATGCTGCTGGTGGAGAACTTTATGAGCGGATTTGTGTTGCAGGGCGGTTTAGTGAAGACGAGGTTTGGATTTTGATTGTCTTGTTTTTCTTAGTATCGATGTGTGATTACTGATCTTTGAGTTTTTATGTATAGGCTCGGTTCTTCTTTCAGCAGCTTATATCTGGAGTTAGCTATTGTCATGCAATGGTAAGCGATTTGAAGTTTTCTCATTCACATTTGTTTTCTTTCAGAGAGTTCAATGATTTACTCTGGTAATGATTCCGTCTTGATTTCCCTGTGAAGCAAATATGCCATCGGGATCTGAAGCTGGAAAATACATTGTTGGACGGAAGTCCGGCACCTCGTTTGAAAATATGTGATTTTGGATATTCCAAGGTACTATTTCTCTCAAGGTTTGTTCTCTGTATTCCTAGTTTATATATGCTACAGTATGGCCCTGCTCAAAACAGTGGGGAACATCTTGTGATTCCTCGTTGTGCTTCTTATCGCTCATGCTCTTTACCTGTCATGTGTTTCCTACTGAGTTTCATTGAAGTGTCTGTTTCTGCTTAAGTCCTAACTATGCATTTCTTTTCTGCAGTCTTCTGTTCTTCATTCCCAACCGAAGTCAACTGTTGGTACTCCTGCTTACATTGCACCAGAGATTCTTCTTCGACAGGAATATGATGGCAAGGTAACGCCTTGAGACCAATTCCTCTGTCTAGAGTTAAATCAGCTTATCCATGACTGTTTATACCACACATTTTCTTTGAGTTGTCTTCTGAATTACGCGGGTGTTACATTTTTCCAGCTTGCAGATGTTTGGTCATGCGGTGTAACCTTATATGTAATGTTGGTTGGAGCTTATCCATTCGAGGATCCACAAGAGCCACGAGATTATCGAAAGACGATACAAGTAATGTTTTTCAATTGTTCTTGCTGTCTCATTCATCATCATCCACAACATTGTTACACTCATTATCCTTCAAACTTTGATTGTATATATGTTTGTTTCTCCATTGATTTTGAAATGCAGAGAATTCTTAGTGTCACATACTCGATCCCAGAGGACTTACACCTTTCACCAGAATGTCGCCACCTAATATCGAGGATTTTCGTGGCCGATCCTGCAACAGTAAGTTTTACACTTAAAGCAAACTTTGTTCTTTAAAGCATTTTGAGTTCTAAATAGACAAACTGAGAGACCCAATGTGGCAGAGAATCACTATTCCGGAGATCACATCCGATAAATGGTTCTTGAAGAATCTTCCAGGTGATTTGATGGATGAGAACAGAATGGGGAGTCAGTTTCAAGAGCCTGAGCAGCCGATGCAGAGCCTTGACACGATTATGCAGATAATATCAGAGGCTACGATTCCGACTGTTCGTAATCGTTGCCTTGATGATTTCATGGCGGATAATCTTGATCTAGACGATGACATGGATGACTTTGATTCCGAATCTGAGATTGATGTTGACAGTAGTGGAGAGATAGTTTATGCTCTCTGAGATTCCGAGGACAAAGTCTGTTTTGTCCGTACTGTTGAGACACACCAGTGGAGTTTTGTCTTAGCTCCATTCCATCGTTCATTTTTGGATCGTTTGTTGTTTTTTACTCTACAAGCTTTGGTTTCACATACATATATATGTATTGTAATGTAATGTGTAATATATTTCTGAATTTCTCTTTGTTTAATACAAACCACTGGCACATTGTATACAAATTATATTGGCGTTAGGTCTGAAAATAAGGAATTCTCCAAATTATTACAAAGTTGAATCTACATTTTAGATTATTCATATTAATACATATGAGTGATTTGACACAATTGGTACATCAAGAATCATCACTGCACGGCGAATCGGATCGCATGGCATTTGTTCTGTTTTCTTGAACACCAGCCGATGTTGATATCAATCTTCAGTTTCCATCCATCATTTGAACATTCAGTATCTTGATTAGTACTTTCCAATGTGCTACAATTGCTTTTGACACAAGTACACTCTGTTGGTTGACGCATGATTTTGTCAAGTTTAGTGCTCATTTCAGACATCTTGGCCTTGAGCTCTTTGATATCTGCCAATTGATTGATTTGAAGATCCACATCTATCACCCATTTTAATCTAGCTTCTAACTCTTTGATTTTTCTCATGTACCTAAAGATAAACAGCACAATACACATGTTATTGACTTATTTCATAGTACATGATAGGTTTTGCTAGATTTAGTGTTGGGAGAATATGGAAATCACATGTAGAAACCATTTAGCACAAACCACTAGGTTATGTATCATTGTCCGTAAATGATCTTCTAAATAAACAAAACATATATGAGTCAAACCGTTGAATGTATGGAGAAATCTATGTATATATGGAACCATTGAAGAGTATTTTATTTAACAATTAAACCGTGTTGTTTTTGATGAATTGATATATGAAGACAAAAGACATTGACTTATAGAATTAGTTATCTCATCTTTCTTTCTAGATGAAAGGGGATTGATCTATATGCAAGTTGTTGTGGGTATTAATGTACGAAGAGGATTACTAAATTACGAAGAAGAAGTGAAAATCGATCTCAATGATTTACTTTTTACGTAGAATCGTCGAATTGCACATTTGCATTGATATTCCAAAAATCTTAATTTACAAATAAGTTGGAACCGATCTTGTTTTGTATATTTACAAAGCAAACGTTATACATATGTATGTTGGCTTATCATATGTATGATCAACGCAATATTCGTGAATAGAAACGTGAATACTAACAATTTCGGTTAATAAATACCGACCATAAATACTAACACTAAAATCTATGACTTTTAAAAATAATAATAAGTCAAATTCTTACCATTTGATTATTTTATTTCTCAGTTTTTAGGCCTACGACACACATGCCACATCAAAAAAAAAAAAAAAAAACAACTATTGGGACATTTTATACAGATTATATGGCATTAGATCTAAGAAAAATAAGGAATTCTCCAAATTATTCCAAACTTGAATCTACATTTTAAATTAATCCTATTATCACATTTGAGTGATTTGACACAATTGGTACACCAAATATCATTACTTCAAGACGAATCGGATTTCACGGTCTTTGTTCCGTTTCCTTGAACTCCAGTGAATGTGGATATCAATCTTCGGTTTAGATCCATCACTCGAACATTCAACATTTTCTTCTAAAGATCGGTCAGTTTCTTCCACAATATCTTGATTACTACTTTGTGATGTGCTATGATTGCTCTTGAAACAAATACAATCTGTTGGTTGACGAGTGATTTCGTCAAGTTTAGTGTTCATTTCGGACATCTTAGCCATGAGTTCTTTGATATCTACCCATTGATTGACTTGAACATCAACATCTACCATCCATCTTAATGAAGCTTCTAGCTCTTTGATTCTTCTCTTATACCTAAAGATCATAAACACAAAATAATAGGTTTGGTTAGATTTATGTTGAGAGATTACGAAAATCACATATATAATCTAAAAAAAGATTTTACTTGAAAAGAAGAAGAAAATTTTTTGAATCGAAATCAATGTAACCGTCCATAAAATTAATCACTGTAAGTCAGGATATTAATCTAAGATTCTAATGGTATCCATATTCTTATGCTATCTCAAATAGTAACAAAAAAAAAATTATTTTCGAGACTATTAAATTTAAGAAAATAAGGAGACTTCATATAAACCAAATTAAAGAACTCATGCATTTCATGGATTGTATACAAACCTGAACTTCTTGAGTAAGTTTCTGCGTCTGAGTTCTGCATAAGCCTCGACAAGAGAAACAGCCTTTTCAAGGAGATGCTTAAGATCTTCGATGACTTTCCTTGGTGAATCTTCCACTTCTTCGCTAAGCTTATCGACTTGAGCCACCAACGGAGTGATCCTAAAGATTGTAGCATCAAGACGGTCCAAGATGCATCTTGTGGTTAAAGATCTATCTTTTGCTTTTTTGATGGCGTCGTGAAGGACTTGGAGAGCAAGTCCAAGAGCAGCCCCTGCCATAAGCTCACTAACCGGCATTATTCTTAAGATTAGATTAATAGCGATTAGGATCGAGAGATTAGCTCTTTAGCTCTCAACGTGAATGTATGGAGGAATCTATGTACATGGAACCATTGAAGAGTCTTTTGTTTAACAAAACGTGTTGTTTTTGATGAACTATATGAAGACAAGAGACATTGACTTAAAGACTTGGAATTGGTCGACTCTCTTTCTTTCTAGGTGAAAGGAGATAATTGGATCTATATGCAAGTTGTTGTGATTTTTAAATTACGAAGAAGGGAGAATCAATCTCAATGATTGACTTTGTACTTGTAGGGTAGGATTAATCGTTGACTTGTACATTTGTATTATATATATCCAAAAATCTTAATTTACAAAATTAGTTGTAGCCAATCTTATTTTGTATTTATACAAAGCAGACGTTATATGTATGATAACACAATATTAGTAAATACAAACTTAATTTTTTTACATTTGATTATTTTCTTTCTCAAATTTGTTGTTTATGACACATACCACATCAAAAAAAAACTAATTCAAAACGAATCGAATTCCGTGATCTTTGCTTTTCTTGCTCCATCGAAGGTGGATATCGATCTTCGGCTTAGAATCGCCATTTGAGCATCCAGATTTGGCTTCCAATGATGGATCAACTATTTCGACTATGTCCAGATTAGTATTATCCTCATCAGATATAGTACAATCTATTGGTTGACGCATGATTTCGTCAAGTTTAGTGTTCATTTCAGACATCTTGGCCGTGAGATCTTTTATATCTGCCCATTGATTCACTTTAACATCAACATCTACCATCCATTTCAATGAACCTTCTAACTCTTTGATTCTTCTCTTGTACCTAAAACAACATTACACTTTAGTATGTAATTAAATACATACATGAAACAAAAAAATGATAGGTTTTGTTTAATTACGTGTCTATATAATGTTGGGAAATTAAGTAACCGCGGATATATAGAAGTATTCATGTATCTAAGATAAAAATTTCATTATTTCATGTGTATATATATGATAAAACATAAAAAGATTCACAAACCTATACTTTCCAACCAAGTTTCTGCGTTTGAGCTCCGCATAAGCTTCGACAAGAACAACAGCTTTCTCGAGAAGATGTTTAAGATCTTTGATGACTTTCCTCATAGATTCATCGGATTCTTTTCCGAGCTTTTCGACCTTAGCGATCAATGGAGAGATCCTCAAGATTGTAGAATCAAGACGGTCCAAGATACAACTTGTGGTTAAGGATCTATCTTTTGCTCTTTGGATGGCCTCGTGAAGGATTTGGAGAGCAAGTCCAAGAGCAGCTCCTGCGATAATCTCGGCAAGAGGCATTTTCGTAAAGATTTTTTTATAGGGCTTAATTAAATTACAAGGAGATTTTAGCTCTCAATCGCAAGGTTAGTATATGAATGAATCTATATGGAATTAGTCTTTTGGAAAAAAGCACTTCTTTGGATTTATTTTTTCCAACTTGCTGTGATTATAGAATTAGAGAAAAAAGGGAGCAGAGAAACTGTCTCAGTGAGGATTAAATTTTTCTGGTAAAGATTAATATTTTGTTCCGATCCACTTGTTGTGATTGTGTAATTAAAGAAAAGAAGAGCGAGCAGTGAATCATTCTCAATGGCAAATGTCAACTGTTATAGAGAGTACTTATGATACACATTTTTATCTCATGTGTGCAAACTGATATATATGTGCCCATGCAGAGTTTGGAAGATTTCTGCCTCGTAGTGAATTGTCTTGCAATCAATTGATGAAGACATATAAAATGTTGTCAAATCATTTTGTGTATGAACATAAATTACGTGATGTTCAATCTAATAATAGATATTGTATATAAACAGCGCAAGACTTCTTTATCTTGTCAACCATTGGAATATTCTCGGAAGTTTATAAAGCATCAAGGTTGTGAATTAATTCATATGTTATAATATATCCAGTAATATATAGCATTATAAAATGCTTAAGAAAAATAATATAAATAAAAAATTTGGTAATTTAATACTTAGATCACACTTTCACCTACCGTAATTACAACACTTAAAAATTATAACTTTATTAAGTAAAAAAAGAAGAAAAAAGGATCAGTTTATAGATATATTTGTTGAGTTTTTTTCCAAAAATACATTAATTTTGTGGTCTAGGACACGATCGTTACATTAATAATCAATTGAAGATGAACCGGATCTCGTGCTCTCTGGTCTGTTTTTTCCATCTAAAGTGTATATCAATCTTTGGCTTTGAGGATCCATCTTCTTCAGAAGATCGATCAACTGCTTCGATTATATCTATTGGTTGACGCGTAATCTCATCAAGTTTCGTATTCATTTCAGACATCTTACCCATAAGTTTTCTGATATCCAGCCATTGATTGACTTGAACATCCACATCTACCATCCATCTCAAAGAAGCATCCAACTCCTTGATTCTTCTCTTGTACCTAAAGAAAGATTAACAAAAACATAAACATCTTTGCATGTCATTACATGAATAATAATATATTTTTATAGGGTATATTTTTTTGTTAAAATATACACTTTGGTAGGTATATTTTTAACACGACATTACGTTTTCATATAGAAATGATTAACGACATTCACAAACCTATATTTCCTGATTAAGTTTCTACGTTTAAGCTCTGCATAAGCCTCAACAAGAAGAATGGTTTTCTCGAGAAGACATTTAAGCTCTTCGATGACTTTTCTCCAAGGTTCATCGACTTCTTCGGTGAGCGTATCGATCTTAATGACAAATGGAGTGATCTTATAGATTGTAGCATCGAGACGGTCCAATATACATCTTGTGATTAAGGATCTCTCTTTGGCTCTTATGATGGCCTCGTGAAGGAGTTGGAGGGCAAATCCAAGAGCAGCACCTGCAAAAAGCTCAACAAGAGGCATTTTCTTCAGAAGCTTTAAAGCTTTGATTAAATGGATACTAATCAAGATTATAGAAGGATTTTAAGGTGGTTGGCTTTAGCTTCTTGCCGGAGGTTAATTTATGCATGAATCTATGTGGAAATGTTCTTTGTTAACAAATACTTTATTTCTAAGTGAATACACATACTTGAATTAACTTTTTCAAGTTGCTCTGATTTTGTAATTAGAGAAACACGATTAGAGAATCTTTTGACTTTGTTGTGAACAAATGTTAGTATATAATCTCATGTATCCAACACCCAGACGCACATATAGCGTTTGAGCTCCACCGTCAGAAATTTCCCAAATTTATAGGGAAATTGAGTTCTTGTTTAAGCGCGTGGTGATGGGGGTCTATGATCAACTTATTAATTATTGTATCAAGACAACATCGTGTAAGAATAAGGCAACAAATATTTTGTTTTGGGCTTTTAAAAGTTACTAAATGGGCCTCTAGTTGTGTTGTTATGTAACCTGATCAAGTTAGGATTGAGCAAATCTTGATAACATTGTGATTGTTTTTGTCAATGACATATATTTAAATTTCTGTGAAGTGAAAACGCAAAACAAGGATCATGGGTCAGAAACAAAATTTTGAACGATATGGTTAATCAAATCTCAATGTGCCACAGGCTGCAAAATCCCAAATTGGGAAAGTCCCACCATTTTAAAGTAGATGTAGACCCTTGTGTTAAACATGTGCTATTCATTGTGGGAAGTGATATTTATCTTCTTCTCATCTTCTCTACCAAGTGACTGTAGAAGCATCTGATGAGGAAAGAGGCTGTGGTAGGACCTTGCTTATACAATCTTTTCAGAGGTCTTATCCCAAAATCATAATGATTCATAAACAAGAAAATGTTCAAGTTCTTGTAATCAACGACGGTGTCATGTTCGTCCGCTAAAATCACTTTCCCCAGGTAGATCAGTCTTTATTAAAATGTCCCACATCGATAAATAAAGTATTTTTACTCTAATATATAAGGTTAATGAGGTTTTCTACTCATTGTCAACTGAGTTTAAGTTGGACACTCATGATTTCTGATATCAGAGCTAGGTTGGCCCAATATTAGGAATTATGGGCTTCCAACTTAAAATCAGTTGGCAATTTTTTTGGACTATTTCTCGTGTCATCATTGTATAGGAGCCATGCTAATCTTCTCTGTATCATTTCATAGAAATCTCCGAAAGAATCTTTGATGCTTCAAACCGCTTGTGGCTTATCCCACAACGATCAAAGTTTAACTCATCTTGCACACATATTTTTTTAGTTGCATTTACTGTTGAAAGTGCCTCTTGATGATCGTAACAGTCTTCTTCTGAGGTCATTCGTTATTGATAGATCTATTGTCTTTCTATATGTAGGACATGTTATTGTAAGTGCTAACATAGATATTTATATGTCTCGTCTATTTCAACTCTTTGTTTCCTTCTCTTTTCTCTTTTAGTGCTCTCAAGCTTTTAGACTATTTCCATTATTAGGTTGTCATTTATACTTTCCCGTAATGAATTATTCGTTGTTTTTCTTCTTTTTCTCTTTGAGAGTTTATTTTGGCATTGGGTTGTACTTGCGTAGTTGGATTTCCTTCCAAGTTCGAAATTTATTCATTCTTAAGCAAAATAACCCCCAAAAATGATATTTTAGTAGTACCACTAAAAGGATATTGTAGAAAGGAAAAAAAACTTGCATATATATTGGATTGATGAGCTTAAGACATGTGTTATATTCTTCTCGATCTATCAATCTTTAAAGATATTGCATGTTTTAAAATATGTAGTCCACTCTGAAACATTTCGGTGCGTTTTTACTGGAGTTGCCGGATCAACCGATAAGGTTTATAAAAAAAAACAAAAAATTAGAAAATTTAGACTACCTAAAACTCTTAAAAAAAACTTTTAAGATTTTGTAAAAATGAAGAGCATTATTTTTTTGTCGGCCGGCGATGAAAAGTACTGATCATTTATGTAGATTAAGATAAGTATTTATTGAGAAAATATTATGATATACATTGTTAAAATATGAAATTTGTTTGAGAATTGTTGAGCCACTACCAATTTTGAAAGAAAAAATAATATCTCAAACGGAAAACTTAAACATACAAAAACTATGCATCAAGTTCTTACTATTTTATTGTTGTCCCATACGTTATATTTCTCTTGTTGTCATTTTTCTCGTAACGTTTAGATAACCAAAAATTGACTCGAAAAAGTTGCAATGGCCTAATTGCCGAGTAATGTCATTATTAACTGATCTGACTTGCACTGACAAAGTGACAAGATTTAAAGAGAAAGATACAAGAAAAAAAGGTTGAATAGTTTCATATTTGTCATTATGGATTTCTGATTTCACAATGCATTTGCATATTTTGTTTTCCCACGTGCTTAACTTTAACCGTCCAATACTTTTCTTTCGATTGATTAACAAAAAAGTCTTCTTTTTTTTTGCGTGAAACCTTTAATTAACCGACTAATTGTTTATTCTTTTTGTGTCTCTTTTCTACTTCATAATATCAATTACTCCACTAATTAAGATTAATTAAACCACTAATTAGAAATTCTACTTTTTCCGACGACTTTATGTACATACGAATCGTAATCTAGTTAAACTTATTTCATAAAAGACAAACCTCGAACAAGAGGTAATCATCATTCTTACATAAAAGTATGATATATTTCGTATCACAAAATAAGAAATATGGAATCATATAGATGATTGGACTAAGAATATGGTCCATTATAAATGGCTTTATAATGTTTTCATAAATTGTAATTATTCGAAGAATTATAGAAATAACTGAGACTTATTTAAAGTATAATGTTTTGCATTTTAGACGGTAAGGTGTATATAAATGATAACCAAACTATAAAACATAAATTATAAACCTTGACCAGTATAACGCAAAAAAAGTAAAATTGTGTAATTTTTAAATATTAAGAGATTCACCCCATTTATTTTGAAGATTTTTTCCTTAATCTTATAAGTATTCTTGCCTTCTTGGAATCACAAACAAATAAACACGTATCTTAACCGTCCAAATAAGGTCGGATTGGTAAACCAGAAATTAAACCGATTAAGCAGAACCAGAAAACTGTGCGCCCTGATGTGTACATATAACACACGAATGGACAAAGATAACATGACATACCAAACAATACCAAATACAAACACACCACATGCAGCAACAACAACAACTCCATCACTTCGTCTTTGTCCACGGCTCATGTCATGGAGCATGGTGCTGGTTCAAACTAGCTGCAAAGCTCAAGCTCGATGGTCACCGTGTGACAGCTATCGACCTTGGTGGGTCCGGTGTCGACACGAGGCGGCTCGATGAGGTTCGTTTGGTGTCGGAGTATCTAGAGCCTTTGATGAGTTTCATGGAGTCTCTTCCTGAAAACGAGAAAGTGGTTCTTGTTGGTCATAGCTATGGTGGCATTGGAACCTCTCTTGCTATGGAAAGGTTTCCGACCAAAGTCTCTGTCGGAATCTTCCTCTCTGCTTACATGCCGCACCATGACTCTCCTCCAGCGGTTTTGATACAAGAGGTCGCCGGAAAAAAGATCTCTCTCTTATCTTATCTTGTTTGGGACCATTCTTAAGACCTTATCTTATAATCTCTTGTCACTTTCTGTTTGTTTGCAGTATTTTACGAGACTACCAGAGGGTTTCGCTATGGATTGTGAGTTTACATTCGAGGAAGGACTAGAACATCCTCCAAGTTCTGTTTTGTTCGGTACTAGTTTCTTGAAGGAGAAGGCATATAGTAATTGCCAATTAGAGGTGACTCAACAGTTATGATTATGGGATAGTTAGTCTTAGATCAGGTGGTCACTGTTTGGTAATCTGATTGCAGGATCTAGAATTAGCCATGGCGTTGGTGAAACCGAGCTGGTTATACACTAAGGAAATGGGAGGTGAAGATCTGATAACAAAGGAGAGGTATGGATCTGGGAAGAGAGTGTTTATTGTTTGCGAAGGCGACAATGTGCTTCCAGAGGAGATTCAGAAGTGGATGATTAGTAACTACGAGCCTCACGAAGTTAAGCGGATTGAAGAAGCTGGTCACATGGCTATGCTCACTAAGCCTCGTGAACTTTCTCAACTGCTACAGGAAATAGCAGCGAAATATAACTAAATGTAAAATTATAACTCTGTATAATTTGGGATCAATTACATCTATGATATGAATAAGAGAGTTTTGGTATTTGTGATTCTTGATATTCTACACTGCACTTTCGACATTTCATTGCTTACTGTATTTGGCAGGGGCAGTTTCACATTAGCCTGACTAGAGAGTATCTTATACCATTCAGATTTGGATTGTGGAGGCAAGAACATAATGCTCTCTGTTTCATAGCAGCTGCACCAACCAAAGAATGTAGGATCTCTCTGCAGAAACACGGCTCATGTCAGCTACACTTGTGTCAGAACCCCAAGAAAATTCGATTAGACATGAGATTCTCAAACTTACATACACTTCTACTGGTGAGCCGATTAGTTTGAGATTTGATCTGGAAAGGAGACTTCTTTGTGTTGGCATCTGATCCTTCTGTCTCAGAGAATCTCACCTGAGAAGCACCAAATTGAGAGGTTAGAGACTTATCTAGCAGCTAACAGAGAGGTTTAATTTGTTAACTCTGACTTCCTAATTACCGCGACCCACAAACTAAGGATCACCACAACTTCTTGTCAGTACATGGAAATCTCTTGGGGAGTTGTAATTTTTCCAAAATAAAGAATAACAGAACCTGTTGCCAAATCATAATGAAGCATATGCCAATTTTCATATAGCAGTTCTTTGAATCCATATATACAACTGATTTACCTTTGACCAGAGATAAATTACTCATGGGATAGACAGAGCTCTTGAAACCTTGCCAATCTGCCTCACAATAGAGGAAGATTTATTTAGCTGATTATATGCGTAGGTGAGTTTACAAGTTGTGTAAATAAGACTGACCGTCGTAGAAGAGCCTCTGGGTTGTATGGAAACAGTTTCTTCTGATGTAGCTTAACAACTGAATTTTGTAACGAAAGCAGACAATCTTTTGCGTCTTCAAAAGCCTGGGGATGTAATCTCCAGTTTTGTTCAACCTCAGAAGTCTCAGGCAAAACTTTTCTTCTCTTCGGAGATGAAGCATTTATACTCCCTTCAAATGGGAATTTCACAAATAGAGTCCATGAATCACAGACTGCGCGCAAGCATCTACCAGGAATATACAGTGGATGTTAAACAGGAATCAATCTATAAGTATTTGTTTGGAAAATTCATAACGGAATTCGTAAACTAGAGAAATCATTCAAAGACTAGAGTACGAGTTAACATGACTGGTCTCACACAAACTAACAGCTCATATCCAATCTTAATACTCAATATGGAGCAGTCGATATGCAAATTCTTAAGAGAAAAGGATTAACCTCAGTAGGTACTCTGCGCAGCTAGCCCCGATATCTTTAGAGATAAGGTAATCAAGAAGTACTTGATGATCATAATGCAGCTGACAATAAAAAACAGAGGTGCATCACATTTAAGGATTTTGTTCAATGATGAACATATAACCAAGCCTTCATGGAATATAGCACAAGAGATTCGCTTATGTGAATGTTTGATGAAAATTACCTCTGAAAGAAATATACAGAATAGAGTTACAGGATTGAACAAGGATGATAGACGGAAGAGAGTGGTTTGTTCCTCATCTTCAAGTGAACCCCCTTCCACGCTAAGCCTGTAAATAAAAAACGCCCATAAGAACTCACAGAAATCTGGTTAACTGTTTGCAGAAAGGCAGTGTTTTACCCTACTTACAGTTCCTGTCTATGCAATGGTACAGACAGCAATTGCAGGAGGACTTTAAATAATAGATCATCCTACAGTTAAACACAGAAAAGATATAACAGAGCTCTAGTCTATGGTGTTAAACTAAAACACCAAATACGAATGGCAAATACAGAATGATAACCCAAAACCTCATGCATGAACAGCCGAACGAAGGATGCAGAAAATTCAACACTCTTCTTGCTATATATTCTGTGATCAGAAAATGTATTGCCTGGAATCTGTCGTTCAATCCATTTAAACATCTCTGCCATCACTTTCTTTCTACAATCAAACTCACACTGCTTCTCGGTATGTCTACTTGAATAAAGCAAAGTGAAGGAGCACCGTAGGAACAGGAACACAGAAAGTCTATGCAAATGATTAGAATGCGTCTCATTGACCTCCTTATCAGACAAACTCACAAAAAATGGTGATCCCTCCAAACAATTATCTTCAACGGGTTTAAACTTTGTTAGGGTGTGTTGAAGAAAGCCTTGAGAATCTCGTTGCAAATATTGCAGCCATGAAAGAAGAATGGTACATTTTATATTGGACTTATCAGTAAGCCTGATCATCAACACCTACAAAAAGGGGGAGACAGTAGTGTAGGATGAACTTACTATCCGAGATATCTAGAAACAAAGCAAAGTGGTTCTCTCAACTTGTAAGTTTATAAACAGATGGAAATACGTACCAGTAACTTGTGACCTAGGTATCTTGACATGCAAGAGCCACTTTGACTTTCTAACTTTGGTTGGCACCAACGAAGGAGATCCGGAACAAACTCGATGGTTTTTTGGAGTATCAAATGTGAAGGTTCAGAATCATCAGAATCTTCTACAACATGAACATGCTGAACCATGGAACAGAGAAACTGGACAAAGTTCCCAAGAAATACAGTTGCTTCCTCACAGTTTGCAGTGCTTCCGAGAGTTCCACTCTGACCTTGGGAATTTCTTTCACCACTACCATGCTGATGAGAGAACACAGTGTCCACTCGGGACCAAGGAACTTTTGCAAGTGTAGAGTTCACAGATTCCAAGTATAAATCAAGAAGTTCCTCATTTTCTTCTTGGCTCAAGCGCTTCAATATATTACGAAGAATTCGAAAGATATCAGACACGGTGGACCAGTTAGCCTTTTCCAGCTTACATTTAAGAGCATCAGACCCTAAGAAAGGTTGATCCTGACTTCCAAATCCAGTTTCAGAAGATACAGCAGGAATTGGGCAACTGTAGATAACTGCTAAGCGCAAACATTCACAAAGCAAACGAATGAACTCATCCCATTGACTTTCCTAGGAAAACAAATGAGTGAGTATGAGAGCTGGAAGATACAACATTCTAAAATCTCGAAGTGAGGCAAACGCACGCAACATACAGATTCTACCAGAGACTCGGATACTTCCACAAGAATGTTGCCAGCCAAATGTTTAATATGCACATTCTTCATACCCAACAAACCAACCTGCCAGAGAAACCAGATCAAGCTAATGATCATAGACAATCCTATCTAACAGCAGCTGTGAACTAAGAATGAGGAACTTACAAGATCAGCCACAAGTCTTTCTAAGCATATATACTCTTTAGATTCTGGACCATATAAAGCATCAGCAGTCTCATCATGATCAACAACAGTCTCCTCTCCAGATTGAATTTCTCTCAACACCTAATCAAAGAAAAAATAAAAATCCAATTTTCGTCCGTTAAGAGGACCGGAGCTTCGAGGAAGCAAACAATGCATCGACAAAGATGAACCTGAGATAGAGAAAGAAGCAGATCTTTCTCCGTTTCCTTCGTCGGCGAAGTTACATCTCTTTCCTACATGACTCCGAGAACCAATTGCGTTTATACGAAAACACATAGTTACAATAACTCATAACGAAACGGAGAGAACAAGAGCTGAAGAATAATACTTACAGGGTATTGGCGAACACAGCGATCGATCAAGAGATGAAGACGAGAAGCTAAGTTTCCGGTAGCCATTTTACAACGACGACAGTTCACTCTCGCCGGCAATAAACTCTTATTAAAACGTAGCGTTTTGTTATGACGAGAGGTTCGATGAAAAACGCACCGTTTCGCAAGCTGAAAGTCCTTTTTTATGCCACTGAACGAAGTAGCTTCTTCCGTTGTACAACTTACACGGACATGCGTATCGATCACGGCACGCTCTCATCCTCACCGCCGGTGCCTCCTCCGAGTCTCCGTACGCAAATAACAACCTCATATCAATGTACGTGAGGTGTAGGTCGCTGGAACAAGCACGGAAACTGTTCGACAAAATGCCAGAGAGAAACGTAGTTTCTTACAATGCACTCTATTCGGCGTATTCCCGGAACCCAGATTACGCAAGTTATGCGTTTAGTCTGATAAATCAAATGGCATCTGAATCCTTGAAGCCCAATAGATCGACTTTCACTAGCTTATTGCAAGTATGTACTGTGCTTGAGGATGTTTTGATGGGGTCATTACTACATTCGCAGATTATAAAGCTTGGATTTTCAGGTAATGTGGTTTTCCAGACATCGGTTTTGGGGATGTACTCCAGTTGCGGGGACTTAGAATCTGCGAGGAGAATCTTTGAGTGTGTAAATGATGGAGATGCGGTTGCTTGGAACACAATGATAGTTGGGAGTTTGAGAAATGATAAGATAGAAGATGGGCTTATACTCTTTAGAAGCATGTTGATGTATGGTGTTGATCCAACGCAGTTCACGTATTCAATGGTATTGAATGCTTGTAGTTAATTGGGAAGCTATTCACTGGGGAAACTACTCCATGCCCAGATAATAATCTCTGATAGTTTAGCTGATTTACCTGTACAAAATGCTTTTCTTGACATGTATTGCAGTTGTGGGGACATGAGAGAAGCATTTTATGTGTTTGGGAGGATTCATAACCCAAATTTGGTTTCATGGAACTCGATTATTTCGGGGTGCTCAGAAAACGGCTTTGGAGAGCAAGCGATTCTTATGTATAGAAGGTTACATAGGATGTCCACACTTCGGCCGGATGAATATACTTACTCTGCTGCTATATCTGCGACAGCTGAACCAGAAAGATTTATTCATGGGAAGCTTCTTCACGGACAAGTAACAAAATTAGGATATGAAAGGAGTGTGTTTGTTGGATCAACACTCTTGTCCATGGACTTCAAAAACGGGGAAGCTGAATCTGCACAGAAGGTGTTTGGTGTGATCCCGGAAAGGGATGTTGTTCTCTGGACTGAGATGATTGTTGGGGAATCTAGAGTGGGAAACAGTGAGTGTGCATTCCAACTCTTTATTGAAATGTACCAAGAAAAAAATAGAACTGATGGTTTTTCCCTGAGTAGTGTCTTAGGAACATGTTCAGACATGGCGATGCTAAGACAAGGTGAAGTGTTCCATTCTCTTGCCATAAAGACAGGGCTCGACAGTGTTATGTCAGTATGTGGAGCACTAGTAGACATGTATGGGAAAAACGGCAAATACGAAACTGCAGAATCAATATTTTCTCTTGCTTCAAATCCAGATTTGAAATGCTGGAACTCAATGCTAGGAGCTTATAGTCAGCATGGAATGGTAGAAAAGGCTCTGAGTTTCTTCTAGCGAATACTGGAAAACGGATTTACCCGGATGCTGTAACATACTTGTCTTTATTAGCAGCTTGTAGCCACAAGGGATCAACGTAGGAAGGTAAGTTCCTGTGGAACCACATGAAGGAAACTGGCATCAAAGATGGGTTTAAGCACTATTCTTGCATAATGAGTTTGGTATCAAAAGCTGGGTTATTAGACGAAGCACTGGAACTGATAGGACAATCTCCTCCTGGAAACAACCAAGCAGAGCTCTGGAGAACTCTGCTAAGCGCCTATGTTAACGCAAGAAACTTGCAGATGGGACTATATGCAGCTAAGCAAATACTGAAACTTGATCCAGGAGACACTACAACACACATTCTACTATCTAATCTGTATGCGGCGAATGGGAGATGGGAGGATGTTGTAGAGATGAGAAAGAAGATTAGAGGATTAGCTTCAGCTAAAGATCCCGGATTGAGCTGGATTGAAGTGAAAAACAACAATACACAAGTTTTCTACTCTGGAGATCAGTCTAACCCAGAAATTATAACTCAAGCTCAAGATGAATTACATAGATTAAAGAGTAATATGTTGTGTAGATCATTATCCAATGAACATGATTCATTGCTTATAAGACTTTATCTATTCAGATTAAAAGTTTGGTCTAAACAAGTATGGTCATTTCAATTCGAAATCACTTGTGAAACAGAGGAGAAGAAAGTACCAAAGTTAAAGAACACAGACCCAAAGAAAAAACACAAACTTTCTCTGTTTTCTAGTTTCCAAATTACACAAGTTTCTAAAAGGACAAGACACACTAAGAGATCAACATCACTAAAAACCCTCTCGTAAAGACAGAAGCTTGTGTTCACTTTAGGACAGATCTCTAGAGTCATCACCAATCTTGGCAAGTTCAGGATAACAGTTCTCCCACCACTCGTTCAGCGTTTCAGGTGACTCGGAGATATGTTCAGAATCGTCAAGAAGTGCCTCCTCCAGCCTCTTTAGCTCATTAATCTCCTCCTGCTTTCTCAGCGTTGCAACAGAGGTTGGTGGCATACTTGTTTGATCATGGTAAGCAGAAGCGTCTGTTGGATATTTGAGAGAAGTAGAATCATACTGTTGGAGAGTTTGTAGAGAAGAGTAAGCAGAAGCGTCTGTTGGATATTGGAGAGAAGTGGAATCATACTGTTGGAGAGTTTGTTGAGGATCTGTGACAAGAGAATGATATTGGAGAGAAGTGGAATCATACTGTTGGAGAGTTTGTTGAGGATCTGTGATAAGAGAAGGAGAAACTGTAGAAGTGGGGATAGCAGGCTGCGGAGTTTGAGGAGATAAGTGAGCTTGAGGAGATAATTGAGCTTGAGGATCTGTGAAAATAGAAAGAGACTCTGGAGAAGTGGGAATAGCAGGCTGCAGAGTTTGAGGAGGATCAGGTAGGGCAAGTTCAACAACTTTATTTGCCGAATCAGTGACAAAATTATGCAAGTTTGCATGGGCTCGACAAACTTGTTGGTTCAGTTCGGCTTCTCTAGAGTTTGAATCTATTCCCTCAAGAAGTGTTTGCATAAACAAAGGTCCTTTACCCGCAGTCTTAAGTAGCTCAAGCTTCCACTTTGTCTCGTTAGTGAAGAGAGAAAGAATACGCAATTCTCTAAACATTTCTTTTTGTATGAATGTAAAATTATATTCAAAAAAAATGTTTGTACAAAATTTGTTTATAATATATATTCAAACTTTTTCATTGATATATTAAGTGTTGAATTAAGTTTTCTAAAAAATTGGCAGTATTATTAATAATGGTGAATATATAGCCAAAAAATTGGTGATTGACAATTTAACACTACTAGATTTTTGTAATAAATGTTAATAACAAAATTTTAAATATACATACGTAAATTAGTTTATTCAGACAAAAATAAGTATGTAAATAATTCTATTTACTAAAATCATGTCCATTATTTTCTTAAAAAGCTTTGAATACCATTTTTCGACAATAAACTTTTACTTTAAATTACTGTTAAATTTAAATTTTATTTTAAAACTAAATAAACCGTCCGATGGATGGATCCTAATCTAGTATTATAATATTATTTGTAATTTTTTAAAAGAAAATTATAATAGGGATGACGGGTTTTTTTATTTGCATAGGGCATTCGAAAATACCAAACCGCATTTGTTAGGCGTCATACACTCTATAATGTTTTCGCCACTTCTATTACAAAAAATAAAACAAATTTAAGTAAATTCTTTTTTATTTGTTCGTGAGAAAATACCCTTTTCTAACCATATATCTTCTACAAAACAAAATTGAGTAAATAAGATAGATAAGTGTCATAACGAGAAGTTAGATAAAACGCAGTGTTTTTGTTATAAAAGAGGGATTATATTAAACGCGACGTTTTAAATTTTCTTTTAGAAAACCTGAAGCTATCTTTCTTTTTTTATGCCACTGAACGAAATAGCTTCGTCTGTAGTAGAACTTACACGGAAATGCGTCTCGATCACGGCACTAAAACGGGCGCGTCAGCTCCACGCTATCATCCTCACCGCCGGCGCAGGCTCCGCTTCTGAATCTCCGTACGCAAATAACAATCTCATCTCAATGTATGTGAGGTGCAGTTCACTTGAACAAGCACGGAAACTGTTCGACAAAATGCCTGAGAGAAACGTAGTTTCTTACAATGCACTTTATTCGGCATATTCACGGAACCCAGATTATGCAAGTTATGCGTTTAGTCTGATAAATCAAATGGCATCTGAATCCTTGAAGCCCAATAGTTCGACTTTCACTAGCTTAGTGCAAGTATGTACGGTGCTTGAGGATGTTTTGATGGGGTCGTTACTACATTCGCAGATTATAAAGCTTGGATATTCAGATAATGTGGTTGTCCAGACATCGGTTTTGGGAATGTACTCCAGTTGCGGGGACTTGGAATCTGCGAGGAGAATCTTTGAGTGTGTAAATGATGGAGATGTGGTTGCTTGGAACACAATGATAGTTGGGAGTTTGAGAAATGATAAGATAGAAGATGGGCTTATGCTCTTTAGAAGCATGTTGATGTCTGGTGTTGATCCTACGCAGTTCACGTATTCGATGGTGCTGAATGCTTGTAGTAAACTGGGAAGCTATAGCTATTCTGTGGGAAAATTAATCCATGCCCGGATGATAGTCTCAGATATTTTAGCTGATTTACCTGTAGAAAATGCTCTTCTTGACATGTATTGCAGTTTTGGGGACATGAAAGAAGCATTTTATGTGTTTGGGAAGATACATAACCCAAATTTGGTTTCATGGAACTCGATTATTTCGGGGTGCTCAGAAAACGGCTTTGGAGAGCAAGCGATTCTTATGTATAGAAGGTTACATAGGATGTCCACACCTCGGCCGGATGAATATACTTACTCTGCTGCTATATCTGCGACAGCGGAACCAGAAAGATTTGTTTATGGGAAGCTTCTTCACGGACAAGTAACGAAATTAGGATATGAAAGGAGTGTGTTTGTTGGAACAACACTCTTGTCCATGTACTTCAAAAACGGGGAAGCTGAATCTGCACAGAAGGTGTTTGGTGTGATCACTGAAAGGGATGTTGTTCTTTGGACTGAGATGATCGTAGGGTATTCTAGACTAGGAAACAGCGAATGCGCGGTCCAACTCTTCATTGAAATGTACAGAGGAAAAAATAGAACTGATGGTTTTTCCCTGAGCAGTGTTTTAGGAGCATGTTCAGATATGGCGATGCTAAGACAAGGTGAAGTGTTCCATTCTCTTGCCATAAAGACGGGGTTCGACAGTGTTATGTCAGTATGTGGAGCACTAGTAGACATGTATGGGAAAAACGGCAAATACGAAACTGCAGAATCAATATTCTCTCTTGTTTCAAATCCAGATTTAAAATGTTGGAACTCAATGCTAGGAGCTTATAGTCAGCATGGAATGGTAGAAAAGGCTCTGAGTTTCTTCGAACAAATACTAGAAAAGGGATTCACCCCGGATGCTGTAACATACTTGTCCTTATTAGCAGCATGCAGCCACAGGGGATCAACGCAGGAAGGCAAGTTCCTGTGGAATCAAATGAAGGAACAGGGCATCAAAGCAGGGTTTAAGCACTATTCTTGCATGGTGAGTTTGGTATCAAAAGCTGGGTTATTAGACGAAGCACTGGAACTGATAGAACAATCTCCTCCCGGGAACAACCAACCCGAGCTTTGGAGAACAATGCTAAGCGCATGTGTTAACACAAGAAACTTGGAGATGGGACTATATGCAGCTGAGCAAATACTGAAACTTGATCCAGAAGACACTGCAACACACATTCTACTATCGAATTTATATGCGGTGAATGGGAGATGGGAGGAAGTTGCAGAGATGAGAAGAAAGATTAAAGGATTAGCTTCAGCTAAAGATCCAGGACTGAGCTGGATTGAAGTGAACAACAACAATACACAAGTTTTCTCCTCTGGAGACCAGTCTAACCCAAAAGTTATAACTCAAGCTCAAGATGAATTACATAGATTAAAGAGTAATATGTTGTGTAGATCATCATCCAATGAACAAAATTCATTTCTTATAAGACTTATCTCTTCAGATTAAAAGTTTGTGCTAAACAAGTATCGTCATTTCAATTCGAAATCACTTGTGAAACAGAGGAGTACCAAAGTTAAGAACACAGACCCAAAAAAAAACACAAACTTTCACTGTTTTCTAGTTTCCGAACTAAAATGACAAGACACACTAAGAGATCAACATCACAAGCCAATAGAAACTAAAAAAAGGAAGAAACTTGAAACCCTCTGGTAAAAACATAGCTTTTCTCATTTGAGTGAGTTTCCTGGTGTTGTGATGGAAAGATCCGGCCACGCAAAGTACTCACCAGAGACAAATCCACCACCGGCGTTACTCTCTAAACCCTCGAACTGCCACGTGGCTGGTATCGGAACAGAGTGATGACCACCGTTACTTCCTACATTCGTCGTCGCAGCATCACCAACAGTAGAAAACGGCCACATCGCTCTTCCAAGTCCAAAGCTGACGTCATCAAAACCGGACCCGAGTCCGATTCCAAATCCTCCGAGACCAATAACCGAACCGGATCCATGTGTAGCCGTCGCAGCAGCGTTATGGTTCAACAGAGAAGTGAAACTTCCACAGAGAGATAAAGCACTTCCCTTTCCGTCGCTTTCAGTTACGGTGTGAGTAACGCCGTTAGAGATTGACGACTGAGGGAAGAGAACAGGCGTCGTTTGTAACGGAACGCCGTTAGAGTTGGAGTTAACACCAGAAACAGAGGAGGAAGAAGAGTTGGAGCAAGTACGGGAACGTTTGGCGCTTTTGCGAGTACCACCGCCGACAGGAATGTCACGGAGAGTACCACCGTGAGTCCAGTAACGACGACAAGCTTTGCAAAAGTGACGAGGCTGAGAGAAGTTGTAGTTGTTGTAGTAACAGAACTTAGTGTTGGATGAGTCACAACGAGGACATGGAAGCTGTTCTTGCTGGTCAGAAGTCGGAACTGTAACGCCGTGAGGTTTCATGGGTATTCGCCGTGGTTCACCGGAGTCAGACGTCGGCATAATCGGAGAAAGGTGGAACCTTTTTGAGTGGGAAGTGAAGAAAGATTGAAGCTTTTTTGGTTTAGGGTTTAAAGGTTGAAACTTTAGGTTACGAGAGAGTGAGAATTTGGTTTTTTATGGAGAAGAGAGAAGAGAGAGAGAGGAACATGCGCAGATAGAAATGGGGATGGAGAAGAAAGTCAGGCTTTTTTTTGACAGAGGGTGTTGGGTTGATTTGAGGCCACGCTCTCTCTCTCTCTTCTCTTGTCTTTTTATGAGGATTTTTGTTTTTGTTGTGCTTTGGAATTGTTGAGTCGGCTAATGAGATTATTGTAACAGTGAAATGCTCTGTTTTTCATCCCTATGAAACACTATGAAGTCGGCTCTCTTCATGCGTAGATGGCTCTGTTTTCAAAGTTTCAGTTTTGGACTTTGAACAATGGATAAACAACATTAACAATAGTACTATATCATTTGTGTGATTAATACATGGATTAATGGTTTTGTTTGTTTAGCTTAGTTACTAATATTAGAGTTATAGTTATTGATACAACTATTTAAAGAAGAAAAAGAACATGCTTTGTTATGATCGTCGCAATATTTGACTATCTCGATTCCCAAACAAGGTTTATCTATGTGAATAGTGTGGCAGCCAAACGTTTAATTGACATATGTGAGGCATATGAAATGAGTAAAATTATTTTCTATACAAAACTTCAACGAGGTAATAATTCACCGTTGTGGTTTTGAGATAACTAAAATTTTGGTACCTAATTAATTACCGGGAAAACATCATGATACTATCTTAGTCTTTTCGTTACCAACCTTATAAATCAATTTTTTGACAAAAAGAAAAATTATTGTACTTATGTGGCTAATAATGCTAAAGTTTGGTCATGACGTTGCTTTTATGTTTAAAGTTTAAATTAGTAAAACAACAGTCAAAACTAATAATAATGACATTAATTTTTTTAATCTTTCGTGGAAAAACAAAAAGTCACGTTGATAAAAAAAAAAAAAAAATGATACGGAGATAAGGCATAGAGAGGAGAGAGTAGGTCGCAGTAGGCAACACAGGTTTGGAGACTATTGAGCTTATCAATGTACGGCCATTTCCCAGTAATTCTACATTTATCTTTTAAGATTCTTTCAATTAGTTTTATTTAATTTTCATGCTTATCTATGATAACTTTATTATATTAAAAAAAACAAGCAATCGTATGTTTAATGTTTCCAATAACAATTAGTAGGAATACTACTAATTTCGGTTTTAAAAAAATTAGCATCCGTAAATATAAGAACTTAGTATACCACTATCATTTATTCAAGTGACTGGTTTTATGTAAGGTTATAAATTATCAAGAAAAATTGCTATCGTAAGCGTAACTCTTCGGTAACTAAAAAGAATTAAAAAATGCATGTTCGAGAAAGTTGGAAACAATGGACACGTTTTTCTATCGTCTACGTCAAATTTTTACTTTTAAAATGGATAATTGGATTTATTCTATTACTTTATTTTGACACGAATTAAATTATTGTTTCTTTGTTGGATCGATCAAGCAGCTTTTGAAATTAAAGTCCAAAATTTTTTTATCTTGTTTCATTTGTTCGCTTTCTTAGAAAAGACATTACTATATTGTAATGTACCGGAGAACTTTTGTTTGTTTATTACTCTATTTAGTATTTAGAGATTATTCTTTTTCGATACTTTGATAAAGATTTAATTCAAAGTATAAAAACAGGTGACAGTCGCTTATTTTATTCAAAATAAAATTATAAATTTTTGGGAATTTAATTTAAAAACGGTAGTAGCGGTGGGCGGTGGACTATGCTCGTGTTACATCACTAAACACTAAATTTGTATTTTTATGAAATGATCAACTCTATAATTAAAATTCACGTTAGAAATTATTACGTTGATTTGATTATGACAAGCGAATCAGAATCTATATTAGTCCACATACGACTAAACAAGTTGTATTGGAGTATGACCTCTCAAGGACCACATTAATCCCACATGATCTATGCAATAGATATAGGATTATGCTAAGATTTAAAGTTACATCATGGGACGAAAACAAACATAACCTTTTCAAAAGAGAAACATGTAAATCCAAATAATAAGAAAATTTGATAAGTACTCATCCGTTTAAAATAAATTATCGTTTCACATTTCTTTAACACATGAAATAGTCATTACAAATATCGTCTGGTGAGATTTACTAATGTGTGTATGATCTATCATTGTGATCATATTTGTTCGTGACGGAGAGAATCGGATTCGGATAAAGAGAGAGAATGGTAAGAGAAGAGTCCGCAATCAGAGGAAATGTGTAATTATAATTCTTCACGCCTCTGAGCAAAAAAAAAAAAAAAAAAAAAAAAAAATTCTTCACGCCTTGTCCCGACCCTTCCCATCATTCTGTCTCTCTCCGCATTTCTCGTTTCTCTAATTTTTTTTTTTCAATTATTATTATTAGACTCCTTAAAATTTGTTTTAGATAACGACTCTTCAAAAAAAAAAAACATGACAAACCCCATGTTTTTTTTTGAAGTAAAGTATTCATACTGGTCTCTGGTCCATATAAATGAGTTACAAAACCTTACAAATACGTACGTTAACGTAGCAAAAACGGAGAAAAGAGAGAGAGAGTCTTACAAAAAAAAGAACTGGTCAAGGAGACAAGAGTGAAACTGTCGGGTCGAGTCGAAGGAGGTGGATAAGCACGCGCAGCCGGAGGAAAGATATGACCCACACTGAGCCACCTCTTCCCACTTCAACGACTTCTCTCTCTTCTCTCTAGTCGCTTTCACACCCAAAACAATGAAGAAACTCATAGAAAGAGAGAGTGAGAGAGAAACAATAGAGGTGTGGTTTGTGTGTTGTGTGCCATGGGACGATGTGTCCTATTTGTTTTTGCAGCCGTCCTTTCGTTGTCGGATATTCGGGTCCGGACTCCGGACCGGTCCTATCAGATCAAACCACTGACACCTTCCCTTATTCCCTCCCTCTCTTTCTTCTTGTCCTTTTCTTCCTTAATCCTCTCTTTTTTCTGATTCCTATTGATCCGATGGGTGTTTTTTTTGTCTTTGAATGTGCATGAAAGAGGGCTAGTTTTGTCTTTTAAGTGTTTATTTGTTATGGCTTTAAGCCCAACGGTCCAATATTTTATACTCCAGTTACCATAAATAAACAAGTATATAACTGATTATTCCCTTTCGCTTTTCAAAATTTTCCTTTGTTCTTTACTTTAATAAATGTGTGACTCAAAACAAATATTTTCTTATTTAGACGAGTATGATACTTAGGGCATGATTATCAAGGGTTTCTTAACAATGGCTCTTAGTAATTTTTTAGTATTAAAATCTTAAGATTTACCTCTTACAAACATGTTTTGGCTCTTAGCTAAGAAACCTTTCTTACCAATCTTACTATTTGCCATTTAATTAAATACTTTTTAATACTTAAGATTTACCTAAGATTTGGCTAAGAGTCTACCAATAATCATGGTCTTAGTATCCGACACTTGTAGATTCCAAGACAAACAAACAAAAATTTCTGCTAACTATCAACTTAAACGTAAAACCATGGCTTGAACAGAAATGAAACTAAACCACAAACAATAATATAATTAAAAAAATCAGAAAAACATGAACAAATCTATTACTATGTTTTTTTAACGGTAATAAGCCAAAAAAAAAAAAAATCTCATAAAGCCAAAATAGAAATTACAATTTTTTTGAAATGAAAGGTTTATTATTATTCTCAAAGGTCACGAAGGTGGAGGAGGTTAAAGGGAGTGACGAATTTGGAGTCACCGTAGAGTAATTTGTCAGCAATCAGAAGATTAGCGGCTTCGCTAGGATGGTACGCGTCCCAGAACACATGCTTTGACCGGTCCGTACAAAGGCTCGACGTTGGTCCACATGGCAATATCCCCGCCAATCTCCCTCTCGTCTCACAACACGCCTCACTCGCCGTCCTAAACCCTATTATTATATTTCCACAACAATATTAAATACACAATTAACAATTTTGTAATTTATCAAAGAAACAATCCATCCTAAAGATAGAGTTATAAAAGGCCCATGGGCCTCTAGTATATATTCTTACCGTAGTCTTTGAAGTTGACTATGAGGTCCATGAATAAATCATAAACGTTGGCATAAACGAAGTGTGCGTCTTTGAGACTATCTTTCAATTCCACCATCAAGAGATCTTTGAGACGAGCATTGTACTGAAGAGCCAGTTTGTTTGCCAAATCAACACACTGCTTATCGTTTAGTTGATTGATCGATTTCTGGTACGGTATACATCCGATCGGAGCCACATTTCCCACCACAAATTTCCGAGCATCCAATTCATATAATCTCTACATTTGATTTTAAAAACCTTCAGCTAACGTTAACTACAAATCATAATTTTTTTATGTAAGTTTTGTAACATACCTTGAGCTGGTTGCGGAGGTGGCTAATCATGTCATCAACAAAAATTTCAGGAGTTTGTGTTAGCCTTGCTTGAGCCGCGACAAAAGGGACTAGATAGTTGTTGAGAAAATCGTTTGAACCGATGACTATGGAGAATAAGGATCTCTTTCTAATGTAATCTCTAGCCTTATCTTTACCCAAAAGCTTATCAAACTGCTTCCTTGTAATAGTAAAGTAATCAACTTGTATGTCCATTCCTAACCGATTCACCTACCAAATAGTAATTTTCAAATTGTAAAACATATACATAAGTTCATTTGCATATTTGTGTACATAGACAAACATAAATTTCGAAATAAAAAGCAACATTTGACACATATTTATAAAAATAATTAATATGAAAATTTTACGTAAACTTTTCCTGCCAACCAAACGGTCGTGACACATAATATACGACAGATAATGTGTGCATGGGACAAAGATGCTTACAAATACACTTCCTGTAGCATTGAGAATTCCACCACCACCTGATGCGTAGTTCACACCATTTAATAGTGCTTCACCACTTGCATTTGGTGCTAAATATGGAACTGCATAACTTGGCTGCCCTAACTTTTCTCCTATAGACAACAAAATAAACATTAGCATAATCATTAAAAGATGAAATTTTGATTTATATTTTGGATACAACTTTTTATATATTAAATTACCAACGATGTCAGCTATGGTACGTCCATTGGTAAACCGGCCGGTTGGATTTCCACGAGATGGTTTGAAATCTATGCCATTAGGAGGACTATTGGCTCTAGACAATGTTTGTAAGTAGTTGTTATTTCCTGCGTCAACTAGCGAATCGCCAAAGACGAATGAAGCGGCTAAGGCGTTTTGGTCTCCTGCGCTAGCTACTCTAGAAAATATTGATCCAATGAACAAGAATACGAAGAATGGGACAAAGAAATTAGCTTTATTCATTGTCATGAAATTGTTTCTGAATTTTGATACTTGGTTTTCATTGTTCTTTGACAAAGAAGAGTATATATATAGATAACTCTTCTGACTAGCTAAGAACGTCCGAGAAGCAACCTCATGTGTTAGATTTGAAACCGGGTTGTTTAACAAACTAAAGTTTTTTTATGGTCAACATGTTTCGATTTTTTTTTTAATTATTATTACAAAACAGATAAAGTTAGGACACCAATACTGTTGTGTTGTGATTTATGGTTTAGAAAGTTTGAAAATAAAATACCCTTGTTTTATGGTATCTACTACTCTTAACTCTATTTCATCATCCTTCAAAATTATTTTAGTTGACGAATCGATTTTTCTAGTTAGAAAAATACTAACCTGGTAAAAGGAAATATATATTACAGTCGTATGGGTTAATACTTTATAGGAAAACTTAAGTTGGGCTTTATTAGTAGCTGGGCTGACCATAACGCTGACCATTATCTTACACTTACTTACCAACTATTAAGATGTTGAAATGTGTATATAAATTAAAATTAGGTTTGTTTTTGTTTTCTTAGTTAATTACTTTGATCCGTGTTATATACAAATGAACTGTTTGGTGAATCTGATATGAAAATGTAAAAGAAAAACATAAAAAATCATTATAAAGGGCCTAATGATGATGCCTGATGTTGTGTGTTATGTATGAAGCACCAAGCATCCCATTATTAAATGATTTAAAGAAAGTTGAGTTAACTTCATTGCCGTTGGACCACTTAAATCATAATCCATCGTGTCCCATTTTCTTATATAAGAAGAAACTTGACTAGTAGTAACAAACATACGATTGACGAATGGAAAATGACGACACTACATGTTCAATTAGAAGACAAAACAATTGGTGCCAAAAGGATGATCACTTCCTTACGCTACTCATCATTTACAATGAAGCGTGTCCACTTTTATTCCCATGGTAAGATAAGTGACCGTCGATGGACGGAGTTTTTCAGTTTATGCTTATTGATTTCATATTTTTGGCATTTTTTTTTGTGCTCGGACCAAATTCCACAGGTTACAATCTGTAAAACCTAAACATCTTTTTTTAAGAAAATAAAAACCTAAACTTTTTTATTTTTAGTAAATATTTACATTTTTAGCGAAAAAACTAACCGTTTAAAGTCGGCCGAAACAATTTGAACGTTCTAAACAATATTGTATAATTTTCTGGCCTTCAAATTAGTGATTTATTCTTTTAAAGGAAATTGGTGCAGAAAAGTAGCTTTATCTATATGTCTAGCTCTAGCTATACATGCAATTAACAAATTCAGGTAATGTAATTCTCTAGATCATCGAAGAGTTGTCTGTCAAAAAAATGGTCAGAAATCAGAATCCCGGTTAAGGCGAACCGGAACTCACACGAAATTAAAATGCTTGAAGCTTATTGGATCAAAATCTGTTTTAACATAATTAATTACAATTACATACACATTTGAATAGTTCGTCGGTGTTGTTTACATACAAAAAAACAAACAACTATTTTTTGGGACTAATTTTCCCTTGCGCCGAGAAGCTAGGAGCCGCCGTTAACTCCGACGGACAACCACCACCACCACCACCACCACCAAACTGATCCGGCAACCGAAAATCTTGATTTACCATCGGCGGTGAACTCTCTGACACCCGCCACATCTTCACCGATCTATCTAAACTTCCACTATACACAATCCACCGTCTCTCACCGGAAGCCGATTCTTGATCTCTCTCAACCGCCAAACACTTAACCGGACCAGCATGTCCGGTCAAAACCGAAAGACAAACATGCTCACCACAACCACCTTCTGGTCTCCTCCACACACGTATCCCCAAATCAGCAGAACCACTAAACATCAAATTCCCCGCCGCGACAAGACAAAGCACGGCGAGTTTATGACCTTTCAAAACGCCGCCGTTTTTCATATTATTCTCACGTTCCCAAAAATTAACGGTTCCGTCAGACGAACCACAATAAACTAACGTCGCGTTTTGATCAACAGCGATCGCCGTAACGGCACAATCTTGTTTCAATAACGTCTCCGAGAAGAAATGTTTCGTCTCCTTGGCTTGATCTTCCCTTCTCCAAACCTTAACCGTTCCATCAGCTGAACCGGTGAATACCAAACCGTCAAAACCCGAAACGACAGCGTTTACCGCGTCTTCATGAGCGTTCACTGATTCCAAACACCGCAAATCCGAAACTCTCCAAACCTTAAACGTTTTATCCCAAGATCCAGAGTACAACAACCTCTTATCTTCGCTTAACGCGAGACAAGAAATCGCGTCTAAATGACGAAACCCTACCGCAGCACTGCTACGATTACGTCGCGTGAAGTTGAAGTAAGAAGAAGGACCAATGGAGTTTCTTATATAATCAAGAAGATTAGGCATTGTACCTACACGACGATGAACGTTTGATTCTTTAGATGCAGCTTTCCACACACGGATCTTACCATCTTGATGACCGGTGAAGATTTTATCTCCAGCAAGTACAATGGCTTTAACCAATCCGCTATTCGATTTAAAACTCGCGAATTCAACATGGTTTTTCCAAACCCTAATGTTCTTGGAATCAGATCCGGTGTATAGTAAATCTCCAGATGTAGCTAATGAATAGATATGACCTTCTTCGCGAACAAGAGATCCCATGAGAATATTAGGAGAGTGGTTGGTTGGTTTTTCTTTGGTTGTCTCCGTCGTAGCTTTCACCGAATGATACGGCGAATCTACGGCGGATGGATCGACTTGTACAGACCATGGTGATTTGGATAATGGAGAAGAGGAGCCTTCGGAGGGAGAGATATCGACGTAGGTTATGTCGTAAATGTCTGGATCTGGAATAGTTTCTACTTTTGTTAGTTTTGTAAATGCTTGGCCATTTACATCTCTGCTTGTACCTTTCTTATGCATTGAAGACATAAGAAGAAGATGATGAACTTTTTTTTTTTTTTTTGGTTGGATTTAATTAGACAGAGTTTTAGGTTACGGAGAAGAAGAAAAAAGGTTGGAGAGGATTGTGTCTATATGGAGTTTATGGAATTTTTACTTCCTATTTATAGTTTATTCGAAATTGGAACCGTTTATTTCGGAAGAAGTACAGCTTATTATTAGGTTTGATTAAATAATTTAATGGTCCTAACTCCTAGTAAGTTAGATGAAAACCAGCTTTCCGTTGCTTTGGTTTCATACATTTTCTTCTTTTGTTTCGTTGCCACTTCATAATCTCATAGCAGAATAAACATGTATTGTGATTTTTTTTACCATCACGACATTATTATTTAAATCAAGAAGGTCTAGAAGCATAAAAATATAGAGCAAGAACTACTAAAAACAGAATATAAGCGAAAGAAAAATTAATGGCTGAGCTTCCTCTTCCATGCGTGATCACTGATCAGTATAGCCAAGACGGTCCATAAAATATGATTTGGACCCGTATTCTTCTGTTGATATTTTTCTTGTTGCATCATTAGATTTAGATCGAAAAACTCTGGTACCCCAATCTATATTATGCGAGGTAATACGATTTGTTGGAGTATATTTTCGGTGGAGAAAATTGCAGATCAGTGGACCGTTAACCACTTGACTAAATACACTTTTCCAACTTAATTTGTTGATTTATATGTTAAAAACTTTGAATGTATACATGCATGTGAACATTTTAAATAGTTGGTCCATAAGATAAACATTTTCTTTTCAAGTTTATGTTGAAAAGTTTTTAGATGTTTGAGAGATTTTGTGCAAACTTTAATAACTTCAAATTAAAATCTAGCATACACAATTACACATAATAAACGTCGTAGTACATAAAGAGAGAGAGAAGAAACTATAAAACACATCACACATGTTGGTTAACCAAAAGACACTTGTACTTTTATACTAATTTGTCTACTCCACTCTTTGTCTTTTGTTGTTGGGTCTTTCCACGTCCGAAAAATTTAACGAAGGCCTGAACAATACTGGTTTCATTTTATCTTCTTCAACCGATACTTTTCTGACTTGCTTTTCCATTTTTTCTGATGAGATTCCATCAGTTATCAATCCCATAATGGAGCTTAGAGAGGAGATGCGTTTTTTATCACAATAAAATACCACCTCCTTCTCCTTCTTATCAAGTCCCATCACAGAAGACGACAACGACGGTGTAAATTGAAAAAACTCTCCATTTGCATCGCACCAATCTTGAATCGAACCCATGAGTCCCCACTTGTTAGCTCTCAAGTCGTACCCATGAATCATTCGGGAGCCATTATTAGTCTCTACCCTCAACACTAAACACTTGCCATCGTAAGCTTCCACGTTCCAACGAATCAGACTTGTTTGGTCCAGCACTACGTTCCTGATCTGCCTCACGAGGACCCACTTGGGATTAGTGAGGATATTCTCGAGGGCATAAACGTAAATTACATCCTTAAACGCCGATATAGGTTAGGCTGTTGTTGCTTGCTCTGTTTCGGGGTTGAAAGCAACGATGCTTCCATCGTTTCGCAGCCAGTGAAGAGATCCGTCCAAGTAAACAGGTTTTCTCATACTGATATCGAGATCGCTTGTACTGCAAGTAATCTTTGTTTTCGAAAATCTCCATGAATCTCCGGCGTTAATCTCGAATCTATACGTTGTTTCCTCGTCAGGATTTATTTTTTCCACCTCGGTTATGCAGACTGTTTTGAAACCCTGGGTGGTTCGATCAATTTCATAAACCGCAAACCCGATGTACTTCGTTTCGTGCCCAAGACCAACTGGTAGACTATTAGGCAAAAACCTTGACCTAGGTTGATTCAAGAATCGAAACTTTTTTATAAGGGGATTTGCGACGCAGAGACCATTATTAACAGAGAGTAGAAGAAGACCAGAGCAAGAGCCTAGAATCCGACACTCCATTAAGATGGTTTTGGTTCTTGGTGACCTAGTATCTCCCAAAGAGTAATACCAAAGCGACTTAGAGCCATAGGTGGAGATGTAAAGCAAACCGGATCTGAACCTAGAAAAGAATTCGGATTTTAAACACGGGTCCTCGGATATATGTGACTGAAGAGATCTATTTGTGCATCGCATCATCACCAAAGATGTGAGATCTGCTCTGAAGAGAATCTCGTTGAGGAGATGCAAAGGTAAGCTGTCCATGATCAGAGAAAATTAGGGTTTTTGGCTTACTTTTTCTTGCTAGCTTCGATGAAGATATCTAATCCTAAGACGTAATTAACTGTTTAATTTTTAAACATCAAATTCCAATAAATATAAATAAACGGATTATTTTGTATGATCTCTAGTGAAATTAATTAACATTTCCTTTTTTTCTTGGCTTAAGTACTTTACTTCTTGGAAAATGGAAACGTTAAAAACCTTTCTAAAAAAAAAAGAGAGGAAATGTTAATTACTTAAGTAGAAAAATAGTTAGATATTTTTGTCACAAAAAAATATAGTTCAAGATTGCTAATGGTGTTTTAATTCGAATTTTGTTTTGATTTGAGTTCGAATTTTTGGTTTTACATATAGTTTTTGGATTATAATAGTATTCAAATTAAAACATCACATAAATTTCGACCATTTGGTATGGTTTTGATTGTTAAATAAATTTAAGTTTTAAATGTTTTTTTTTGTTGGGTTCAAATTTCGATTCAATTTAACCTAATCTTTCATGGTTCGTGTGTGTTTTTTTTTTTTTTGGCAATATCCTCTAGGAAAACTACAGGTAGTCTCGTTGCCTAGGAAGAAAACGGCAAACAAGAAACTTCTTCATCACCTGCAACCGAGTTACCGACGTAAGAGACTGACACGTGTCTGTAAGGTTTCGTTCTCGTGACTTCGTCTTTGTCCTCTTGCTTTCCCGCTCTGCCCTGATAAGGAGATATTTTCACAAAGGCTTCTCTTATTAACCGTTTCTTTCTTCCAAACTCGTTAATGGCAGAATCCTTCGATTTCGATCACAACAAACACTAAATTCGCATGACGTTCCTTCGCAATTGGGTTCAACGGAGACTTCGTACTCTGTTACTCCCTTTTTCTCGCGATGAACCTGATCTTCAAGTCGAATTAGGGTTTACTGATACTCTCATCACTTTAAGGAATTTCCGATTCGATGTTTCTCAGCTTAATCAGCTTCTCGATGGATCGAATTTTCAATTCGAGAAATTTACTGTTGACCACTTGGTTGTTCGATTGTCCGTTTGGTCAGCTCCGGCGATTAAAATCGAAATTCGCGGTGTCAATGTCAAATTGTCAGCCAGGTAACTTAATCCCATCGCTCAATTGTTGTTTTGTGAAGTCCATTGTTCGTTAGGGTTTATCAGATTCTGCGTTTTTTCTTTAGAGGGACTGAGGAAGGAAGCTCGAGAAGAAAGCGAGCATCAAGTGACACTGTTGGAAATGAGATAAAGAAAGTTCTATCGTCTATTGATCCTGAGGTACTTAACCAATTTTGCTATTTTTCCTAAATCTTCATTAACTCTGGGATTAATTTGTTGGTTGGTTGGAATTGTAACTATGTGTTTTGGTGTATTGGCAATTGCAGGGATGTGTCTTACATGACATTTTGGAAAAGATGCTGGGTCGTAGCAGTTCCCAGATAAGTAAGCTCAAGACTTCCTTCTCGAATCTTATTCTCAGGCATTTCCGTATTCGGATACATGGCATTAATGTTCAAGTTTGTTTACCGGGTTCAAGTGACTTGAGTTGTGTTATGGAAATCAATGAGCTGAGGAGTGATTCTGAGAATTTTGGAAATCTTAGTTTAGTTAGGAGTTCGGCTGCTGCAGTTTTATTCCCTTTGAGACGTAGTTCCTTAACGCTTAGTTGCTTCGGTTTTAACATTGGGTATAAGAGGGATAATGAAATAGCTGACCTTTGTGGATTTGACAGCCTAGTCATCTTGATTACGCTGCATAATCTTCAACTTGTTGATCTGATCGTCCGCATTTCAGAGTTAAGCTTCTCGTTTAGACCCACTGATCTTCCGGTTTTAATGGGATTGGCGAATTTATCATCCAAAGATAGCAATTATGTCAGAAATGGACGTTATCTTTGGAAAGTTGCTGCTCGCAGAACTGGCTTGATGATTTCACCTCACACTGTTTCATTCCAGAATTTAGTTAGTGCTGTTGTACTCTGGCTGCGATACGTGAATGCGTACGAGTATTTATTATCTTTAGCTGGGTACTCCAGGAGCATGCCAGAGAAATCATTACTTTGGAAATTTTCAGAAAACAAAAGGCATTTTGGAACTGCAAGACGTAAATGGGAGATGATATGTAATATTGAGAAAGAGCTCCCTGCCGAAGCTATTGCACGGGCGCGGAGAGTAGCCAGATACAGAACTTGTCTGCAATCTCAGAATGCTGATGAAAGTTATGACGAATCCTCCGTTTACGGCCACTTCAATTGTTTGTCTAAGACCACTGGGGTTTTAGCTTATATCTGGAGACTTATAAGTAGAACATTCTGGTCTATAGCCTGCTTCCTCTGGTCAAACAAACACTTGACACAAAAACTACAAACTGATAGGAACAATGACGATGATTCCGAGGGGGTATCTCTTGAGTTTCATGCAGTCGTAAATCTCGGGAAACTTTCTATCACATTTTATCCAGAGAAAATGATTTCAAATCTCCTGACATCAAAAGACAGTACTGGACACATGGACTCAAACATTGTCATACTTCGCCTTTCGGTTGATGAGGTTTTGGTAATGTATACTGTTGGCTGTCTTAGTCAGTGTTTGTCTGCTTCCTGTGGGAAACTGAAGGTTGAGTCCTCTAGTTTAAAGAATACCAGTCGTTTCATGAAATCTACAAAAGATCCCAGTAGTTCTTCTGAAGGAAATAAGAAGCACATGCGTGAAGATGTGAAAACTATTCTAGACATGGACCCAGCACAGCGAATTTCCAAAACAGTTAACAATCATGGCAGTGATCAACATGAAGGTATGCTGCATCTACAAACTCTTTTGAGAGAAATGTGGTTGAACTGGAACAGCAATTGCATGAAGTTAGATAAAGGTACTTTTACAATTTCTGATAACCCTTGTCTACTAGTTGATATTAAAAGCTGTATGGCATATGAGGATGTTGGTAACCAAGATTCCGAGTTCTGGAAATGCAGCATGGTGTTGGGAAAGTTGGATATTGTTTTAGAATATTCATCGTTGTTTTCTTTGGCTTTGCTAATTTGGCAGACAGAATGGGCTCAGAAGTTATATGTAGACGAATATACTGGAGGGGTGCATTCAAGTTCTTTCGTAACAGTCGGGGTTGATCCTGAAATTGCTAGTTATGACGAATATGGGATCTACAGGCGCAGTATTGAACTGTCTTTGCATAGAGTTCATCCAGAGAGACAGATTCAGGTTGGCATACTTCTTGGTGGCCCCCAGATCAAATTGTTAGTTGAGAAGGCTGAAGAAGTGGATACTTTTATTGGGAAGAAAGATCTTCTATTATTTGATTTCCATGAATTTGAGTTTGTTGTCTGGCCGACTTCTAAATCTGACGTGGTGCCATCAAGGATGCTTCAAGGGCCTGATAACAGAAGAAGAGATAGGCCTTTGCTTCAGGAGCTGGGGCTAAGTGATACGGTGATTCCAAGTTATGAAAAATATGTTTCTCAAGGATGGAATTCCCTGTCCTCACACCTAGGGTTTTCTGGTTTTGATTGTTCTTTCTGCAAAATGGCAGAAAAGAACTGGAGTCAAGTTTTTGTAGTGAGACCCGTAACTATCTGCTTTTCATCCTTAAGGTATGGGATTTCCTCTTATATCAGATTAATTTCTTTTAATCATTATAGAATTTATTGCCTTCTACTGCTACATATGTGTTATACTAAGCTAAACATTGTCTTTGTCTCCCTTCTTGTTACATGTTTTGGTTCTAATGTCATATGCGAACTGTTCGCTCCCATAATTTATCGCTGAAGATTGATTCTTAGCTGCATCTCCTTCCCAAATTATTACGACTGAGCTTAGGTGCTTCGTTGAACTAGTTAGTATATGTCCATAAGATGTTCCAAACTCCGGTGACGCTATGTCATAGAAAGGAGACTTACTATTGTACCACTTACATTTTATGCAATTCAATACAAGACTGAGAGAACTGCAATTTATTGCAGGGAGAATGTTTATTCCTTTAGCGAAGCTATAATGAGTTTCTCAATTGGTTTGGATGTGTTGGTGCTGGGACTGACTATTGTATCAAAACCGGATGACCTAAATGCTTACTTTCAGGTAAGAGAGGCTTTCTTGGTAATTTTCACTTTTCATGTCTATAAATATGCATTATGTGGAAAAATAGTTTCCCATGCCTTTTCCCGCTTTTTTGCTCGCTGCATTGAGTTAATATGTGTGTTTGGTAAGCTATTCTAAAGGTTCATATGCTCCGAAGCATGATTTACATGTCTCTTTTTAAATGTTTGCCTAATGTCCTTGCTTGCATAGTGTCATACTGTCATGGCGTTAATCTTTGTCAGTGGAATACTTGATTAAAAATTCTCTAGAGTCTATAGTAATGTGCTTTTCTAGCCGAAGTGATTAATATCTGGGACTTGTTGGTAACAGATATTATCAAGTGCCATAAGGATTTCTATATATGATAATAGAAAAGATGCGGATTTCTTAATGATTTCCGGTGTGGTTTTAGAAAAGATCCTTCTAGACTTCCTTAAAGTTGGACATGATGCCCAAGTACTTTTGAGTTCCTCAATCTAAATGAACCTTTCCTTGTGCTTCTTTAGTTTAAGATCTGAGTCTAACATATGAATAGCATCAAGATCCTAATTTACCTTTTAGGTTATGAAAAAAGCATTCAACTAAGTTTTGTTATTTTGTACCAGATGCTTCTAAGCTTAGTTTCTGGGCTTTCCCGTGGTTTGAGTGGCTTAAGTTCTGCGGGTCATTCATCGGGACAAGAATTTCTCAGGTCTGATGCAGTGAATGTGGAAGATGAGATCGAAAGGACTTTTTGCAAAACTCTTTTTGTAGTTAAAGCAAGCATTAAGCTGAAGGATATAGATGTGATATTTGATGTTCCTGCAGTAGACGACAAGTTTGAGAGGCTTGTGGAGCTAGATGATTCTAAAATCTGGTCTTCTGTCCAGGAAGCATGCATTGAACTATCTTGTGAAGAAAATAAGTGTTTAATCAATGTTGATTTGTGTAAACTCCAATCAATTCTCTTCAAATTTGAGGGTAATATATGGAAGA